CTAAGCGTGGAGATTTGATTTTGCATCCGGTGTACACATTTGAAGCTTTCGTCATAGAAAAATAGACTAATAAGTTTGTAAAATGAAACTTTGTGAATATCATTGTCTAGTCAACCATCCTCAAGATGGAATTAACCCCCCCCCCGTGGTGTGATAAACAAATTGTCGCACCCCTTCACTCTCGATTAAACCACGATGAAATATAAAATTAATCTGCTAATAAGTCATAATTACTGCTGGGTTATTTATTTATTTGCTTATATATTATCATTTAAAATATTCGCAATATTTTTGAAACTCCCGCGAAAAAATATTTTTTGTCACTTCTGTTGTTGTTGTGGTTGTACTTGTTGTTGTTTGAAAGGGTAAAAAAAATCCTCTAAAATCTGTCAGAATTTGAAATTAAAGATGATTTGAAAGGAATTATTTGAATCCAAGCTTGGTGAGAATAGATCTAACACTGACGCAGAAAAGAACACCGTTGTATACATGGATGTTTCGATTGGTGGAATGCTCGTCAACCGAGCACATGCATGGTTCAGGATGACGCACACACACTTCTATGTCTCACCTAGACGAGGAAGGAACCTCAGAAGCCTTACGCAGAATTCTTAACAAGGCAGGAATAAAAATGGCATTCAAACCCACAAACTCAATTAGAAACAAGCTTTGTCGGCTAAAGGATCCTGCTAGTTGAGCCTTTAAAACAAAACAATTTAGTTTATCTGATACCCTGCTGAAATGATTGTCAGGTTAAATACATAGGTCAAACTAGTAGAACGGGGGCAGTCAGACTAGCTGAACATAAAAACTTAGCAAAATCTAGATTGGTTGACCCGAATAAAATAAGAAATCTAGAGAATAGTTCAGCTATACCATTCACTACATGCAGTTACACACAACTATACAATAGGATGGGATAGGATGAAAGTTTTAAAATCTAATGCCATAGGGTTGAGGGAGAGATTGATAACAGAAGCTTTGTTTATCGAATCAACTGCAAATACATGTAATAGGAATGATTCATCACCTGTCCCAGATATCTGGAAAATTCTACTCCCCCGACGACAAATAGGAGAGAACAAAGAAAACTATAAAACTCAAGTGTCAAAGTCGTGTGATCACAATTGATATGATTATGAACAATAAATTTTGTTCGAAACGTCATCCAGTAAATAATACTGTTTCACTGTGTGATATGTCAAATAAACAAACTAATACGGAATCACCTAGACGACATTAAATTTCGAAAGGAGAGTGAGAGAGGACAGCAACCCTTGCATCTCCAACTACAACATCTGGGCTAAAGGAAGTTTCAAAGCTTCTAACTCCCGAATAATGCTCCAATGAGAACGCGGGAGAACGAAAGAATAAATAATGATGAATTTCAAATAATTATTATTTATAATTCTATATATAGAAAAAAATCCCCATTTAGACATTTAGAAAACAGAAAGATTGAGCGGGAAGAAATATTTTTACTTGTCAATTAGATCCTCATCTCACTCTGGCTCTACTCTAATATATAATGTATAGCATTTTTATTACAATACACAACAATTTACCAATCAAGTGGCGCTGATATGTTTGTTAACAATAATTAAACAGTGTCAAAATGTCAATGCGTTGATAATTAACGAAGAAAATTAATACACACAATTACAAGGTAGAAATGGTTGCAACACGTGGATTGCGTAACGCACAATTTTGGAAAATTGATGAGTAAGGAATAAGTGTGTGCACAAGTTGATTACGTGTAACAGATTGTTAAAGAAAATAAAATGATTTGGACAATGATAATTTGTAACTAAGGATGAAGTGGTTATAAAGGTAAAATAATTTTCCAAGGATAACACGTAATTAAAGATGAAGTAGTCAGAAAAAATAAAATAATTTGGACAATTATAATTTTTAAAGGTTTATGTGAACGGGGGGGGGCAAAGTAATCCGGTTTATACAATCATGTAACGATGGCCAAGGTAAGGAAAGTGGCTGTACAAATATCTTCTGAACACATAGGTTTGGCTTCTTCTTCTTCGGGTGGATTCCTTTTGCTTCAGGTGTCTTATGTAGAAGACGAACTCGTAGAGCAAAATTAAGATTGGTCGGAATGCGATAAATTATTTTAAGTGCAGTATTAACGTCAACCTTATGCTCACTATCTACAAGGTGTGCTAAAATAGAGCTACGAACAGATCTTGTTTGTCTCTTGCTTAACCATGCTGGATGATGTTCGGAAATACGATGATGAACCTGCCTAATTGTACGCCCAATGCAGCCGGCTCCGCAGCTGTAGTCAAACTGGTAGATACACATAGAAGTGGCAAATTTAGGTAATTTATTCTTATTTCTCGAAAGTAGAATTCTCTTGGGTTCCGAGTGGACCATCGGGGTTTCAACAGCATAGATCCATTTTGTCCTACAGTCTGCAGTCCTACTCACCTATTAACTCTCTTCAAAAAGAATGAAAACCCACACGATTTCATCAAAAAGGTGTTTAAACTCTAGCCATAACACCAACAAGAAACCATCATCAAAGACCACAGGAAAATTTACTTTATGAACTATAAAGAATATCTCTGAAATAACAACTGGAACAATTAAGACCGCACAATCACTTTTTTCAATATTGTGGAGACCAAAAGACCCCCGCAACAGAAAAAGAAGATAAAATTATTACCATTTACAAAATAAATTGCAAGCATGAACTGCAATAAACATTACATCGGTCAAAGTGGGCATAATCTTCGAATCAGAATGCAGGAACACAAATTGTTTGTCAGAAGACTTGATGTATATATTCTTTCATATCAATGCATGTAGATAATTATGGACATCAATTTGATTGAGATAATGTCAAAATTCTAAATAGTGGAAACACAAAAAATGCATTCAAGGAATTCCCGAGAAGCCTGGTATTCAAGTGAATTAGCAAATAACAAACTGATATTAATCCGTGATCAGCTCGTAAAAACAAAACTAAACCTTAAAAAACCAACTATAGGGAATTAATCTAATGCTCGCTAGTGAGTGGCTTGCTACAGAATGGAGTTTCCTGGAGTTCTAGTGAGAAGTCGTGACCAGTGAGGTCCATCCAGTCAGGTATGAGGAATGATGTCCCACTGATGACATTGGTTTGTGCCACCCGCGCTAAATCACGAATTATTAGAAGTTAGAATTCATGGGCTGGCCATTGAATCGGGTGCTGCCAGTGGCTGAATCGTCGTCACCGAGCTTGCCTTGTAACCGGAAGGTCATGGGTTCGATCGCCAGTAGGTGCGTATTGCCGATGATTCCCAAAATGATGAAACAGTCAGCTGTCCAGTACTCCAGTGCAGTTTTCCAATGGTTCTTCTCTAACTGATAACAATCCGTGATCAACTCGTAAAAAACTAATAATATAGTCCAAATTTATCAACTGATAAAAAGCACATCATGTAATAAGAAAGTTCGAATTCCGAGTCAATAAAAATGACCAATGGAGACCTAAATTAACATCCAGTCATGACAGTGGTGGTCAGGGGATTATTTATTTAAACGCAGAAAAAACTTAGTACAATATGGCACCAAGAAAGATGCGCCATACAACAATAATAAAACAACATAGATTAAAAGTAATAATATAAGTATAAAACGGATAAAGAACTTCATCTGGGAGGAAAACAGTCATGTTTAACAGGTTCGAACAGTATTCCTTAACTATCATCAGGAATGGAAGAAAGAATGAAATTGCAACACGTTCGCCATTGATTACGATTCTTGGCCATATCCGATAACGTTTTGAGCCATCGATTCGAGCTATCTCGCGGACCCCAACCAGGGAGTCGCGACGCACCAACCGATGCTAATCTAGCACAAAAATCCTTCATCCCACGACGCCACGTCATGGACTGACCACCCGTTCGCCTTCTTCATCCCGTCCCACGGCTAGCGAACAGAGACACGTACGGAAGCCTCTAGAATGACATTCGCAGCACATGTCCAAGCCACCGGAGCTGGTGTTTCCAGATGATGACACTCAATGAATGGTGATCTCTACTGTGTTCAAACACACGCCGTCGAATCTCAGAATTACTCACGCGATGATGCCATCGAACGCAAGCAATCTTGCGGAGACAGCGATGATAGAACACGCAGAGTCGCTGCACATCCTCAGCTCGGAGAGGCCAGGTTTCACAGGCGTTGCGCAAGACAGCCCGCACCGAAGCATTGGGGGTGGTCAGGGGATGCAATTACACCATTCAAGGAGAATTTAAATCAGTTCATTTTATACTAAAACCTGCACTGAAAATGTTGTCTAGAATGTGGACGAAGAAAGCTTCACAGTTAAATCAACCAACCAGCTCAGAGAAGACACCTAAGTCAAAATCGAAATGTCTTGGGTGTTCACTACCTCCTGATTGGTTTCCAATGTTTCTCTGACTGATGTCAAGATTCTCATGGAAACTAATCTGATGCTCGGTAATGACGACTGGCTACAGGATTATGTCGCCTTGAGGTACGTAGTGAGGTAAAACAGCAGTGCTGTCCTTCAGGTCGGGCATGAGGACAGATGCGCACACAGGCGACATCGTCTGGTGGTCACAGTAAGAGTCAGGAATTGGTAGAAGCTGGAATTCAACGGTCACTTAATCGGATCTCAGTGGCTGAATCGTCTTGTAACTGGATGGAGTTCGGTTAGAACTCCGTTATGTGTGTGTGTGTGAGTATTGCTGAAGAGTCCCGAAGAAACAGTTGTTCCCAGTACCCCCCCCCCTCCGAAACTGGTTTTCACTGGTTCTTCTCTAACTGATTTCGTCAATCCGTGACCAAACTTGAAATAAAATAAAATCTCTACTAACTAACCATTTAGTATTAGAAATCAGACATTGGCCATTCCCATTTGTTAAGATACTGTTTACCTCAACAATAAAATGAAGACCGTGCTTATTTTACTAAGCTGGATCAATAATAGATCATAAATTTAACACTTTCCCTTACTTTTATTCATTTCAATTTAGCCCCAACAGATCAACATCGTATTATTCTGCATTTCCGTGGAACCTTCGAGCTTGAACCTGAATCTCACTGTACAACAGACTTTTTAGAAATACGTGATGGTGCATTCGGTTTCACCACTTTGTTGGGAAGATTTTGTTCAAAACAAGTACCAGATTTAGGCGCTGGCCTGATATCAAGTGGTCAGTATATGTGGCTGAGATTTCGTAGTGATTCAACGATTGCACACAGGGGATTTCAAGCTGTTTATCGATTTATTCAAGCAGGTAAATGGCTTTTCTGTGTACGTGTGTGTGTTTGTATCGATATTTCTAATTAGAATATTGTTATGATTATTATTGGTTATGAGATTTCATCATCAGCTGATATTGACTACAGGATTACTGGACAGCTGTTTCGTCCTGGTTTGGAGCTCTTCAGACCGCTAGCGACTGTCCTTATTCAGGTAGGCAGTTACCTAAGGTTCTAATGAGAAGCCGTGACTAGTGGGGCCGGTAGGTGTGAGGACAAATACTCGCCCACCGATGACAGTGTCTAGCGCCAGTCGCACTATATCGTGAAATAGAGCGAGCTGGAATTCATGGACTAACCATTGGATCGAATCTCAATGTCTGAATAGTGGCCTACGAACTCACTTTGTAGCAGGAAGGTCCTATCCGGGCAGTGGCATGGGTCCATACTGCTGAAGTGGAGTCCCAAACTAGGCTGACGAAACAGCTGTCTGTCAGTACTCCATGATGGTTCCCCAATAGTTCTTTAACCAACATCCGCTTATGAAGAAATTCTTTAACTAAATTATTGGTTTGATTGAACACTGGGTGGCAGTTCCTTGGCTCAGTGCAGACTAAATTCTATCAGTCAAGTTCTCACTGTGGTCACCAAACAAACTAGTTGGCTTGTCATCATAGTACACTCTGAACTGGTGTTATTATTTGAGACAGTTAGAGGCGGTTGGTATGAAGCCTTTCATATAGGTTTCATGCCTGTTGGCTTTCGTAAGAAGGACGTATCAGCACTCTTGAAGGATCTTATATCCATTCTAAGATTCGAGCCGTAATCAACCAGTGCTGCCTGCCTGTAGTCAGAGACATGTTACCACTGAGATTTTTAGGCTCGAGATTGACTTCCCTTGAGGATAGTATTGGATAATCTGTGGAGCTAGCTAAATCGCCCTTGCCTGAGACTCATCTATTGACTGGACACTAGTAACTAGTGTGATGTGTTTAGTCCTTTCTTTGGTGCAAACTGAATTCTAACAGTCATGTATTTGCAATGTGACCACCAGTCTAGGTAGCTCACCATCACGATGTACATTCATTTGATGATACTAGATAGTTGGAGGCAATCGGCCACAGGAAGTCTTCGACCAAGGTTTCGTGCTAGTTGACACTAATCAGTGAGAAAAGCACATCTGCAAGCTTAAAGGAACTCATGTCCCTTCTGAGATTCGAACCCGCGTCACTCAGTGCTGCAGTCAGAGACGTTTCCACTGAGCTATTGACCTCCTGTAGGACTGTAGTGGATACTTTGACTGGACACTAGTAACTAGTGTGATATGTCTCATCTATGTGTTATCGTCTATGACAACCCCCGTGCCCTCGCAGGTATCGAATTCAGAGCCTTCTGGTTAAGGAGAGAAGTCACATAATATTTAGCTACTAGGGGATGGGACCCATTGGCTCAAATATGTTTTGAATGATCGGGTCGCAGGCTCGAATCGCACTCCACCTACTGAGGTCAAAGCAGCTCGACACTATGGCTCACTAGTGGCAAAAAAGGCATTGAAGTACAATCGAATTGAATGAAAATAATGATTTAATGAAAGCAGGTTGGATTTCAGCAGTATAGTTGAGTCTTCTTCCATATTTTTAACCTTTTTTCATCCTCACAACAACAATTTCACCTGTATGTTTACATTTTTAGGTTCACGAAAGTCAACAGACAGTGTTTCCCGTAAGTTCCAATTGAATTTCACATTAATCTGTCGATACTTTTTTTTCATTCTTAAACTTCTATTTGTTGATGCTGACAAGCAGTGGAATTCATAATACCCATTTCGTTATATTTGAAACTCGTCAGCCAGCTGTATCAGCAGTTTCAGTTAGTGGTTGTGTAAGAATAAATGTCACCCTAGCGTATTTCAATAAGCTCCCGTTTGTCAAAATAATCTTAAAAGCTATCTTGATATCAGTCCTGTGACTCATATCTACTAAATGTTTAGCTGTAGATAAATAGTCTGCCACCTGTGTCTGTGGATTTTTCAAAGTCCATCTGTTTTTCTAACCACTTCGGAATATGCTGTCTCAACGTCGAATATAAAATGCGATAACTCTTCTCTATGTATGTATAGGTGTCCACACACACACATTTAAATTGGTACATAGTGTGGAATGTGATGTAGACACCTGTGCACTTTTGAGGTCTGCAGCGGAGTACATTTTTGGCATTTTCAATGATTAATGAAGATCAGATGGCCAGAAAGAATCACAAACAAGAAACTATGGGAACAAACAAAACAGGAACCAATCGTCCAACAAATATGCAGGAGAAAGTGGAGATGGATTGGACACTCACTCGCTGAGGAGGCCGCTGGGTGACATCGCGCGTCAGGCCAGTGATCGAGTGGAACCCGAAAGGGAAGCAGTGAGTGGGACGTCGAAGGGTTACATGGAGGAGATCGTGTGAAGAGGAGCTGGAACAGTATGGAATAACATGGATGCAGGTGAAAAGTACAGTAGAAGACAGAAACAAGTGGAGACGTGCAGTTGAAGCCCTATGTTCTACTAGGAACCCAAGGGAACAATAATAATATAATTATAATAATAATACAAGCCGCACTGTATAATATGTTTTGTGGATGATCAAGTTTAATCTCTGCCTCAAAATCCCACTACCTACTTACTCATTGTATGGTAATTTGAAAACATCTTTCTCAGGGACAGAACAGATTGTAGGTTCATTTTAGCTATCTGACTTCTACACCTGTTTAGAAATTTTTAAACTTTTCCAAGAAATGACTACCAGTCAGTGTATTATTTTCATTTTGTATAACGTCAGCTGTATAGATACGCTGAACTCTCTTGAGTAGACATTTCACCAAGCCTGTCTTATACTGGAGTGGACAAAATTTAAGTATTGCCTTGTCCAAGTAGGCTTTCTATAAATTGACCACAAGTTGCTAGTTGCGAATTTCTTCCTCGCATGTGAGAATTATGTGATTCTGTATGGAGTTAAGTCTCCCCAGTAGACGACTCACATCCTCATGATCATCACACATCAAAGTAATATTATCTAAAAATCTCCTATAGAAAGGCACTTTAACAATTAAATTATGGGACAAGTATCCCATATAAGACATTTGAACATCCTCCAAGAAGAATCCTGATGAAATCTCTATAGCAACGCCTCCACTTGTCGAAAATCCTCAGCTTCAAATTAGAAGTTAAAGGAAAAGGGAATGGAGAACAACTAGAAGACATATATAGTCACAAAGAAGGTATTGGGTTCGAGCCCCTTTGGGGGCGTACTGATGAAGAGTCCCAAACTAGGACGAAACAGCTGTCCAGTACTCCCAGGAGGTTTTCCAGTGGTTCTCTAGCTGATATCAGCTCTGTAATGAAATCCTCCATTCAACCAATCAAAGTAAATCCTTGATATAAGAATAAAACTTGTGCACTGTGGTAGAGTGTAATTCCATTATGGGTAAATTTTATTTTGATAAAGTCTCACAGTGTTATACAGTAATGTTTACTGATGACGTTTCGAGCACAATTTATTACTGCTCATAATCATATCAAGGTGATCACACGACTTATTAAATTCATTTCAAATATTTCCATTGTTTTTCACTTGATTTGATTGGTAGTAATATTTTCCAAATTTCGGCTATAAGTGATGAATCATTCCTATTGCATGTGTTGGGTGTAGATTCACCCGATGAACCAGGATTCAGTCATCAACCACCTCTCTCTCCACCTACTTAGATTACATTTTAGAATCTTAGCCCTCTCCCACCCTATTGTGTGGTTATGTGTTAATATATACATTGTAACTGCTGAGCTTTTCTCTAAAATTACTTATCATCTTGGGGTCAACCATTCTTACCTTGGCTAAATTCTTATGTTCTGACAATTTGATTACCCCCGATCTACTAGTCTGACCCATATGGTTGACCTCACAGTCATTACAAGGTATTTTGTAAATTGTATAATTTTGTCTATTTGGGTCAACTGGGTCCTTCAACCTACAGAGCTTGTCCCTGAGTGAGTTTGTAGGTTTAATGCTACCCTAATTCCTGCTTTTTTTATTATCCTACGTAGGGTCTCAGATGTCCCCTCCTTATATGGTATAACTGTAGATGACTTATATTCTCTCTTGTTTACATTATTATTACCAGTTTCACAATTCTTTTTATTTTTCCTTTCTTCTTTTTCAATCTTCCTAATGAATTTTAAAGGATAGTTATTTGACACCAACGCCTCTTCTATCTGTTTTATTTCATGATTTAGGTCTTTTTTGTGCTACTTAGTGCCATTGCTCGGTTTGTTAAGCACTTAACTAAGCCTGCCTTAACAGTTAACGGATGAGATGAATTAAAGTTTAAATATCTATTAAAATGCGTTGGTTTTCCATAAACACTAGTGTGTAGTTAGCTTTCTTGTATTCGTTTTATTTTACAATCTAACATTACAGCTAATTCTCCTTGTTCATTTTCGGTTTCAAATGTGAATTTTATTCCCTCCACTAGTGAGTTTATGTGTGTCAAGAAGCTAAAGTAAATCCTTACAAAAACCAATACTTGACAAAGAATATCAACAGTCTTAATCAGTGGTCCATTAGGAAACAAAGAATCAACATTGAAAGAATACATTTGTGTATCTTTTATATTCATGTCTACAAGCCAGTCAGGAAGTTCAAATGTACTCTGATGCGACAGTTATTTCTAGACTTAAGCCTCCACCCCCGTCCTCCTTGTAGTACAAAAACATTGTGTGATTGACAGTTGTCCTACTGTTGAGAGTGGAACCTTTCACGAATCTAGGACTACAAAAGTGTTTTGAAGTTTCTGGGTAGCGATTGAAATGGATATCCAGGGGTTGGATTGTGTAAATAAACTAGACGAAAAGGTAAGCGATAAGGAAACCCGTCGGGCAGTGAAACAACCAACAGCCGACTGAAGGTGTACCGAAGGAAATAGAGGTGGAACGTACATAAGCTAAGAAGACCGATGAGTGACACCATGTTCCAGACGCTAGAGTGGAATCCCGGTGAGGAACGACGGGTTTTTGGCGTCTGACGGTGAGACGGTTGTGATCAAGAAATGAAAGCCTGTGGAGTAAACTTGGAGCCGTCTAGTGGTGCTGAAGAAGATCTATATGTTCCAGTTGGAATGCAAGACACGAGTAACAATAATGGGAATGATAATGGCGATGATACAACAGATAAGACTTTAATTTCTTGAAAACATAATGATCTTGTTAGTAGGAAGCTTGTTCTTGCTGAACTGTCAAATATATTAACGTAGCGTTATCTTATGGTAGCAGATATTGCTGTCAAACATTTTCCTGCCACCTCATCGTCTTGTTAGGCTGACTGTTATACGCAGCCTGGAAGAGATTAAAGACAGTAGAAATGCTTTAGTCTGTTTCCTCGGACACTAGCCAATCATATGCTTATTAAGCTAACTAAGCGAATAGCCTTACCATCGTCAATACCCCTGACACCCTAGTATTGAGCTTCCCATTGTACATGATTATTGGTCAAGGTTGACTACAGAGTCACTTGAGCTGGAATCTGAAGGTCTTAAGTCCTATCTCACATGGTGGGGTGTGATTAGTGCATTCTGCTGCCAAAAAGTCCTAAACTGGGCTGACGAAACGGGGTGTACAGTACTCCGAGGTGGTTCTCTTCAATGGTCGTCTAACTGACATCAATACATGATCAGCTATGAGACAGTTTTCACCCAAACTTGAGACTCTTCAGCAGCAAAGTACGCATCACCTCACTATCACGAAACAGGCTTAGGACTCTCATGTTTCGACGACTTCAAGCTCGCTGACCATCCAACCGCTTAGGCCATATTTCTTCCTAGTGTAGAACTCTTCGGCATCAGTATTCATCCTACATAAAGCCACCATCTGCCATCGAACCTGGGAACTTCAGGCATCAACAAGACTACATTCGTTGGTCATTCACAGCTACTTGAGATGAAATCTAAAGATTCTCAGTTTGATCCCCAATGGATTGGATCATGGATGCTTACTAACGAAGAGTCCTAAAAGCGGACGAAAAACAGCTGTTCAGTACTCCCTTGGTTTTATAAATATAGCGGAGAGAGATAGGTTTGAAAAATCGTTCAAAATGGTAGCATGACTTTTGTATAGGCATATGTGTTTGCATGGGTATGCATGTCTGCTTGGTTTTAAAGCCAATGGTGAACACAAAGTTGGTATTCTAAGAAAAAAATATTGATTATTTCTGTCAAAAAGTATCTTTCCAATATGAAATGTATGGCTTTGTAATCAGTTCACAGTTAGATATCTTTTTTTTTCTGTAAAAATGTCATTATCACTATTATTAATAATAGTAGTAGTATTTGTATGACATTTGTGAGAATGTGTATTTGTGAAAATTAAGGGATAAATGAAGGTTGGTTAGATTTAGAAAAAGGGGATGGTAAATGTGTACGAATAATCCAGAAAGATAGTTATATGAACACACTATTACAGCATAATGTTTGGTGGTGGTGTTGTGGGTGGGGTTTGGAAATACAAATGACACTGAGAGACAGGGAGGGAGAGAGAGAGTGGAAGAAAGCATTAGAAAAATAACAGAAATATTCATGAAAACCCATGAAGTAAGAAAATGTAGTGGTGTTTTAGGTAGAACTTCAGTTTTCTCGGTGACGAAATATTAAAAAGACGGATAAATCGAATGTTTTTGATGTGGTTGTATTCTCTGAGCTAGCTGGATAGTTTTAATTTGCGAAGCTTTCATTATTGCCCTACCAGTCAGCCACATCTTCCTTCAGCGCATACTTCAGTTTGATGAAGTGAGCTTTTAGATTTCGTCACGAGTGTGTGTGCGCGCTGAAGGGAGATGTTGCTGACTTGTAGGGTAATAATGAAAGCTTCGCAAATTAAAACTATCCACCTAGCTCAGAGAACACAACCATTTCAGAATTATCCACCTGATCTACAAATCTTCTCCATCGTATATAAATCTAGTGTTATTATGTGTGTACGTGTGAGTTTGTTAAGTGGTTGACTTCAGAGCAGGAGAAGCCGTGAATGATACACCATACTGCACAGATTAGACTCTACATTTTCAAGATTTAATCTATAGGGATTCGATTCCTTTCAAATTTTGATCCCAGATCGATATCAGTTAAAGAAAACTCTGTCGAAGAAAACCATCAGGAAGTACTGGAAAGCTCTTTCAACTTTGCTTAAAGACTTTTCGCCAGAATGCCCCCTCCCACACCAGGGTTCAGGGTTCCAGGAACTTTCAGCCATTGAAACCCAATTCAGCCAATGTCATCGCTGGTGAGTATTTGTCAGCATGGCTGACTTAGTCAACCATACTAGTCATGACACCTCACTAGAACTCTAGGCAACCTACTAGGGCTGAATAGAGTCCACGAGCTCGCCTAACTGACATCACTCTGCTATCATACTTCAGATCTGCATAAGGCTAAGTGGCAGTCTAGTTTTATGAAGTATTTCTGTGTGAATATGCATATATATATGAATCTATAAATCCCATTTTTCTATTCAATAGTAAAGTTATCAAGCAAGTTTGTGATCTGCTTAACATAACATCAGCAGTACTGTATGTTTATACTACTGACAGAGTAGTAAGTAGTTTCAAACTATTGCCGATAACCAATTAGAGGTCACTTTTACTTTGATTACGTCATCGTTAGTCATATTAATATCATGCGTCTAGTCCTTGATCTTGTTGTACGTCACTCCAGTCCATAGTGTGACTACCATCAAACTGGTTGGTACACCGTCACAGTGCACTCTGTACGACTGGAGGCAATCGTCAGGTAGACGACACTGGCCTTACGTTTCATGATTATGTGCAGTCTTGACAGATCCAATGCCCCCTCTGAGATTCGAAGCCTGCGTCACTTACTGATGAAGTCAGAAACATTACAACTTAGCCGTCTAGCTATGCGTCAACACCAATCACTAGACACATTCCACTAGTTACTGACTAGTGTCCAAACAAAGCATCCATTACAGTCCTACAGAGGAGGTCAATCTTGAGCCCGATTAACAGTGTAATGATGTGTTTGGTTACAGGATTTCATCATGAACTGACATTGGTTAGAGAACCATTGGAAAACCTACCAAGGAGTACTGGACAGCTGTTTCGTCCCAGTTTCGGGACTCCTCATCAGTATGCACCCACTATAGGGGGTTCGAACCCAGGACCTTCTGGTTACAAGGCGAGCTCGCATACCATTAAACCACTGGGACCCGATCAAATGGCCAGCCCATGAATTCTTACTTCTGCCAATTCACGATATAGCGCAACTGCTAGCCAATGTCTTTGGCGAGTATTTGTCCTCACACCCGACCTCCTTCACCCTACTGGTCACGACTGTAGTCTCTGACTTCAGGTACAACAGAGTGATCCACGTTTGAATGTCAGAAGGGAAGTCGATAGTTCCTTCTAAGGTTGTAGATATATAAACGTTGCTGACGAGTGACAGTCAATAAGCACGAAACCTATGTGCAAAGCTTTTCACTAATCACCTCCAACCATCTTACAAAGGTTACTTCAGTCTCATATTATCGAGCGTTGAAGTAACAGTGGGAACGAACTCAAATTCGCTATTATCATCGTCGCAACACGGTGTCAGATTCAATCGCTGTCCAAAAGCGCTTTGAAGAAGGCAAGTCAGTGAGATAAATATCTGAGTTATGTTGACCAATGTGTTTCACAGTCAAGAACATGCAAGTATGCAAAGCAAGGTCAATGTGCATAGCATGAATAGGGTTCGAGGAAAAATTTAAAGGAAAATATTCATCAGATGTAATTACATCGTGGGATGAAAATTATCGCAGACAGAATATCCAGTCGCATGGTTATGCCGACACCGCTACAAATATCTTCCACCTAATAAAAAACTATACTACTCAATCGGCCTTTAAGTAGCATAAATTTAACACAAAGAAAATATGGAGAGAAAAATTCATTGACGTGAAGAAGAAAAATAGAAATTTGAGCAAAGAATATTCTTTTCGATGATTTCCGCTTCCGACACTACAGTTATGTGTATATAAGTATATACATATATATATATAGAATATTCCAGATGGTTGCTAGCCAAATTGGTTGACAGTAATTGAGGTCAAAGGTCAAGATGGACAGGCGGATACAGTTAACATATAGATGAACTGACACAGCCACAAGAGATGCAAGGTTACCTTTGTGTGAGAAACAACCAATCAACAGACTGTATTTTCTACTAACATTAACCTACAATAATGTACATCAAAATCTATAAATATGTGTTGATTTTCCTTAATAAACGTTCTGTTGCCTGGCCCTTGTCTTCTGTTGTTACAAGTATATAGTAGGTAACTTTGAAATCCGCTATGTGAAGACCAATTTTGTATCCTGTATCCATGAGATTAAGCATTATAGAAATATGAGTGGACTTTGTCTGCACCTTACTTAACCACTATGCAAGATGGTGTTGGGAAATTCGACGATAAAAACGCCTAATTATACACCCTATGTAACTAACTTGCTCGCTGCACAGGAGCAGTAGCACTGGAAGAGGCGGAATAAGATAGTTTATCTTTAATTCTCAGAGAGTGAAATTCGGGTGGTTTCGAAGAGACAGCACACTTTAGTGACATTAAATACTCTTACTGCTGCCGTATTCTTTAGGTGTTATGTTAATATCTCAGTGATGTTATCACCGAGGAACTAAATTTTCAAGAACAAGGAGTTTATCAGAACTGTTGGTACTATGACCTGCCATGACTCCTGATTCATATTCTTATCGACGAATTTCTCTGGGTAACCGTTCTCGCTCAGTAACTGTTTAATAATATTAAACTCCTCATTAAGACATTCATCAGAGCAGGTTGCTTATTCTCTGTGCACCAAGTACTTTATTTGATTGCGTTTGCATTTGAGAGGTAGGAGGCTTCAGGCAGTGAGTACACTGACGAGTTGATGTAGGTTTTCTACACACACTTCTTATTATACCACCCTCCTTTCTGGTCACAACGACGTCTAAGAATCATGTACTGCAGTCTCTTTCTGGATAGTAAAATTTATTTCAGGATGGACATCGTTAAATGCGTCAAAGCCATAATATTTAATATGATTACATTATTATTATTCCCTTGGGTTCCGAAAAGAACACAGAGTTTCAACAACATATCTCCACTTGCTTCTGATTTCTGGTGTCTTCTCTATTTGTGCCCATGATTACCCATAATTTCTCATCTCCTCATCATCATACGATCTCCTTCATGTCACTCTCCGAAACATGAACAATTCATCGTTTCCTAATCTGATTCCTTTTGGGCGATGAACTGGTGTGTGATGTCATTCGACGGCCTCCTCACTGGAGTGTGCCTAATCCGACTCCATTTTCTTCTACATATTTGCTGAGCAATTGGCTGTTGGTTGGTTTTTTGCCAGAGCTTCTTGGTGATAATTCCTTTCGGTCGGCCGGCTGGCCATTTGATTTTGAGTATGGAGCCAGCGAAGAGGGTAGTCGTTGAGAAAAGTTTGTAGTAGGCTGTTGGAAATGATTTTTCTGACGCGCTCGCCATTTTTCTGCCCCATAAAGATGAGCTGACTGACTTCACACTTGTATTGAAAATTCGAATCTTGTTCTTTATGCTGAGTTGGTTCAGAAGATTTCTAAACTGATTTCAGGTTGATGAAGGCGTATCTCGTCTTTCCGATCCACTCTGGCTGGTGTGAACATCTTCATCCGTTCCGATCGCCTGTCTTTGAAACAGTGCTTACTTGCTAGATAAATGAGAGAAGTGATGACCTCTGTCAAATCTCTCCAGTTGATGGTGATCAGTGCTGATTGTTGTCGTCGCAGTTGTTGTTGTTGTTGGTTGCTCAGGCATCGTTATCACCTACCTCCGTCTTCTCTATGTTGACCTTAAGTCCTATCTTCGCTGGTTGCTTCTTCAGTTAGTTTGTTGGTTTTCGCCTGTAAGTCTTCGAGTTTGTGTGACATGAGACATAAATCATCCACGCATGAAATCCAGATCTTCTAGATTCTTCTTATCGGTTCCCACTCCCCACAGCCTGACACACAATCCAGTCAACTGCTCTTAAGAATATCATCTGTGATAATAATAGCTAGGCAGCCTTGTTTTACTCCGGTATTCACTTCAAACGCCTCACTGAGTATTCCATTTTCGGATCACCTGACACGTGGCATTGTCATACAGCTGTTAAATCAGGACGATAAAGGTTTGGGCAATGCACCACATAGTGTTGAATGTTTTCAAATTACTTCTATGTCAACGCTGTGTGTCGAAGGCCTTTTCGAAGTCGATGAATTTGTTGAGGTTGAGGTTTGACTGCCATTCTATACACTGTCTGTTCTGTGACGGTGAGTAGGGTAGCTTTGCATCGAAGCCATATATACATATATATATAATTGTAGATCCATACGGTGAACTTATCAAACAGAATATTCTTTTCTCGAACTTTCTATCGTCTTACAAATATCTTATAAATGAGCATTTTCGCTAATAACCAAAACCTTTTTCTTATTTATCCCCCCCCCCAAAAAAAACATCCATTTTAGATATACAATTCCAGTTAAATCTACAACCTGGCCAAACCTGGGATTTAACTCAGCAATATATACTGACAAAAATTAAAAAATTACCCTCAGAATTACAACATCTCCCACTAGAATTGGCATTGGATATTCGATCAACAAATGGAACTTTTGTAAGTTGAAATGAATAACAGAAAATAAAAGATGAAATCATATACTTTTTGGGTTATATTTTAATATACTACTGATATTTATTTATATTTATATAAACATATTGGGAAATTCCCATTTTTTGTGAATCACGAATATGTGTGGGGAAGTCAACGAAATGGATCCCTTTTTATATCTGTGATCATAATTCCTGAGAAAAGTGATGCTGTTTTGTGCAATAGAGGATTAAAAGTGTGGTAACAGCAAAATAGCTAAGATGTTTGCATAATAAAACATAATAATGTAGATAGAGGAGAGGTGTAAGCCGCCACACAAAAGATGCTGATGATATTGAAGCGGAAATTCTCCTGTAAATCGCTTTCAAAATCTATCAGGAAAACAATATACGTTGTCACCGACAGCCTACAAGTGACATTTTCTCATGGAAGAAAATATACAATTCACTTGTGACTGGCCTTATTCAGGAAGTTTACCTGGGGTTCTAGTGGGAATCCATGACCAGTAGTGTACGACGAGTTGAAGGTGAGGACAGTTACTCATAGAAGAAGACATTGTGAAGTGGTCGGGCTATGTTGTGAATTGGTAGAAGTGAGAATTCACAGGCTGACCACTGAATTAGGTCCCAGTGGCTTAATGGTCCACGAGATAGCTCGTCTTGTAACCAGAAGGCCCTGGGTTCGACCTGTGGTGGTGTGTGCATACTGTGAAGAGTCTCAACCTAGGACGAAACTCACTGGTGGTTTTGCAATAGTTCTCCAACTGATGTCAGCTCATAATGAAAATCCCTACAAATTCAATACTTGAAAATGCATATATCAGTCCACTTGTTCATGTGGAATTGCGTATATTGTCCGTACCATGTGTGCGCTTGTAAAATGCTCTCGAGAACACGATCCAGCATACTTGGCAAAGGGATAGAACGCAAAGGAATATTTACTTCGGTAACAGAACATCTAGTGAATTCAGAACATTCTGCTCCCTTCGGAAAGTCTTTTAAAGTCCTATACACGAGATTTAATCAAACCTCTTTCGCAAAATGAGTGAAATCAAGGCATCTGGCTCGAAATAGTTGAAGCACGGGAAAAGTAAACTTTAAGCACCAATAACTAACAATCAACGAATGACCTTGAACGCACCAATCACATGAAGGAGGCATTTTTCGGTATGAAATACATATATTTATGGAAAAAAATGCATAAAAACTATATAAAAATGTTACATAGAATGCCTTTAATGCCTATAAATTGAAAAGTTACACCACAGTCTGTACATATATTCATCTAAATAACTATAAATGACATCCTAATGAGATCCATTAATGGCTCTAATCATGTTTTTCAACCTTCACCAAAAGGCTTCTACAGAACTGGTGTGTGTCTCTGTAATAGGATCCAAAAAATCGCTAGAATCGTTGACTCAGCGGTGGTGAATATACCCAAGGGATGACAGGGAGTTATAACCTTTCCACTCATTGGTGTGTATTACAGATGCCTGTTTAATAAGTCGAGTGATAATAGGTATTAAAGTAGTTGACTTTCTGTCTGCTTTTCTGTCGACAAACATTGTTTGCTCGTCCATGAACATGGTTGTATTTTTCTTCAATAAGACAGTTTCATCCACGTGTATGATGACACCTCCTCCTCAATGACGCGATATCTCTGCAGTGCTGGTACCGCTAAACTGTTGATACGAAACTATTTTCATTTCCAGCAGCCGTACCTCTTACAGGCCGTTTTTCTTAAACCCAGTAATTACAGATACACAAAATCTGGTTTAAGGACATTCGAGACCTGGCGAAAAATGGTCCTACGAAATATAAGAATCATCAGCTTACCTTCCCTGACAATAACTTGTCTCAAACAGACTGCACAACGATGGACATATCCATCATTAGACTTGCTAAAACTTTTTATATTCATGACACATCCATATGAACAAATCCCCTTCCCTTCTAATCAACCTCACATCCAAGCAATACTGGAAAGCCTTATCCTTACTAAACTGCAAGCGTAACTGTGTTAGAGCAGGGCATTTGACTCGAATCAAGCGGAATAGAATCTTCAACTCACATGGATGAAACTCATTGGACCATTCAACGTCATTCGCTGATTGGTAGGTAGTTAGTGGTGCTTAAAGTTTAACTTGGTCTAAGGCACCAGCGATCCAAAAGTTCAAGCCCACACTATACATTCATAGAAAGAAATACATCCAACCATTACCACTACCAAGGTCATCATAAAATGTCAATCTTATCAGCACTGATTATCCTATTGCCTTTCTTATTCAATCTCCCTGTTTATTTCGGTTTGTATACACTGCCACCAATCACTAGTTCATTGAAGGCGCAGAAGTCGGCGAAGAGTTCTCCATTTTCATTCATTTCTGTGAGAGCTTCTCTACCCATGATGAGTTCCCTTCCTGTGTTGTCCTGTCCCAGTTTGGCATTCATGTCTCCCATAAGTATTTTAATGTCACCAACTGGAGTACTGTCCACTGTTGCCTGTAGTTGTCTGTAAAACTCTTCTTTCTTCTCGAGATCTGCGTTGTTTGTGGGTGCATAGCATTGTATAACTGTCACTTTCCTCCCTTTGGAGTTGAATCTGGCGGTCATTATTCTGGACGAGATCGCCTCCCATTGCATGAGGGCCTTCGTTACCGTTGGTGACATCATGATAGCCACGCCCTCGATGTGCATGTGGTTATCCTCTGGGTGACCGGAGTAGATCACTGACTCTCCCGTTGACAATTTGGTGAGTCCATTCCCGTTCCATCTGCTTTCACATATCCCCAGTACTTGAATTCCGTATCTTTTCATTTCGTTTGCGATCTGGGCAGCTTTGCCAATCTCATACATGGTACGGACATTCCATGTCCCCACACAAACTTTTTCTTTTGGTGCAAGGAGATTCATTGTGCTGAAGTTTCTGTAGCAACTTTGTTTACAGGGTAGGGATGCTAGCCTCACGCCTGAGAAGGGGATTGTTACATTAAATTATGGTTTAGAGAGAAGCGACCTTGTGGGTTGCTCCCCTTAAAACCAGGAAAACAAGGAATAAGACAATCAGAACAACACCAGCACATGGAAATAATTCACAACAAGAAGGGTAACAAGTGACAACAACAATAATAATATCACAGTCAAGTGCAGTTAACCAAAATAATACCAAAATCATAGACTCACTGAATTGAGCCAACTTGAACATGTAAATCCATCAATATATACAATTAAAGATATTAGTGACATCATTAGTTAGTGTTAAACAAGCACAGAGTGGCAAATAGATAGTTATAAGTATTGTCGATAAACAATATTATATCCAAAGATTCAGTGTTTCAAAGGCAAATAATTGCAATAGTATTTTGCAACTTTTTGGCAAGATATTCCACAAAAATAAGAGTTTTAGGTAACTATGTAAATGTTTATTTCGGTTGTTCTTACATGATTTTTTATAATTCCTATCTGCATCACCCTGTTTTGTTATCCGAACACTTTGGCTATTTTGGTATTACTGCACTTTTAATCGCTTATTGGTACAAATAGTGTTTATTTATGGGTTTTTTGAAGGTGATTAAATGAAACTCACAAATTGTGTGTCAGTATGCTATTTACTCAGCTTGAGGTGAAATTACTTTGCAGCTAACTGTAGGAATCGAAATTATTCAAATCATAATTTTGATCTGTTTTTTTATCCCCAAATGGTAATTAAGAAAGCAAATATATTTGGATGTGACTATATACTACTGATTAGTTGAGTGGAATGAGTAGTTAATTGCATACCATCCAGTGGCATAGCGGTTAGGACGCTCGCCGCCCATGCACATGGTCCGGGGTTCGATCCCCGGCCGACGCACTCCTTTACCTCACTAAGCCAGCAATAAAAAGCTGGTAAAAAGGAAAGGTTAGGCATGAGGCTAGCAACCCCATCCTGTAAAAATAAACACTGCTACAGAAACTTCAAGCCTCTAGCTTGAAGCCCTATGTTCCACTGGGGAACGTGAAGGAATAAAAAAAAAAATACCAAATAATAGGGATTGTTAATCATGTACTAAAGTGCTCTAAACACGTGATTGTATGATTTGAAAAGATTCGCTACTGTGAGCTTAGTTAAATCCGACTACACCGCTGATGAGGTCACCTCGGAACGAACGAAACGGTAAGCTATCCGATGTTAAGATCATATCAGCCTGGTTACTTGTTCAATGTCAGAGAAACTCGGGGAATCGCGGGTGAAAACTAACAACTAACTGGTTGAAGAAGCAGCCATCGAAGACACGACTTCAGGTGGACATGGCGAAGACGGAGGTGATGAAGATGCCTGATCGGCCAACAACAATAGCAAAAAAAAACAATCGTCACTAATAATCACTTCCTTCACTTATCTGGCCAGGAAACAATTGTTTCAACCACAGGCAGTCGGAACGGTTGAAGATGACAACACCAAACAGAATTGGAAAGGCAAGATATGCCTTCACCAATCTGAAACCAGTTGGCAGGTATTCTGAACTAACTCAGCATGAAGAAGGGGATTCGAATTTTCAACACAAATGTGAAGTCAGCCAGTTCTTCTAAGCAGGTTGGAGATCTGCACTGCGCGTCAAGAAAATCATTTTATAAAGAGCTGCCCTGTCTGGCTTCATAATGAAGATCAGTTGGTCGGCCAGAAAGATTAGCAACAAGAAACTCTGTAGTGGAACAAACCAACCAAGAGTCAATTGCTCTGCAGATATGTGTGTGAGAAGATGGAGAGATGGATCGGTCTTACTTTGATGATGTGGTCGTTGAATGGCATCGCGTTCAATGCTGGCCATCACTCTAGTGGAAGGCCAATGAGGAAGGACGAGTGGGTCATCGGTTCGAGGTTTACATGGAGGAGATGAGAGATTATGAGCAATGTGATCTAAGCTGAAGAGGACAGCAGAGAACAGAACGGAACAAAGCTGAGGTGTGTTGTTGAGGCCCTATGTTCCTTTCGGAACCCAGAGGAATTATAATAATAATAAACCAGAATTTATAAAGTCTCAGTTTATGTGTGACAACCTAACTATCCTTCTTCAGCATCCGGTGATTTCTACATGTTTGTCAAGTTGGCGAATCATTGAAGATAACAAAGCCACCATGTGTGTAGATTGTTGGATTTGATTAGCGCATAATATTATTAAAACAGAATGTGATTACAACATAATGAAACTGCTTATCATATTCGTGTTGATTTTGTCATTTCATGAGGTGTAAGTCAGTGTTGTAACCAGGTTAAATTCTGTTCTGGTCTATCATTCCTATTCAGACAATTCCGAGTCCACTTGATATGAAGTGCTTCTGACGACATTAGATGTCCTGTATGATTTCTCAAAGACTTCTCTATATGAACCTACAGTTCAATGGGGACCAATCTACAGAAATACTGAGAAATCGGCTCTCCCGCTTATTGAAGAAAACCTTCTTTGCAGCTGAATTACGACTGACGTTCTCCACGAGACCAGTGATTCGTATGAACGTGAAGGATAAGCTACCGCTTTTGGCCTCATCTATGTGCATCTATCAATTCACCTGCTCGTGTGGAGCCAGGTATATCGGCCGTACTCAGCGTTCGCTATCCAAACGCGTCAACGAACATTTACCTTCATGGTTTTATAAAGGAGAAAACCGATGCCCCCGCAGCTCGATCCTTGGACATTTGATCGACTCTGGACACCAAGTCAAACCAGAAATAAACTTCAAAGTTATCTACAGAATACAAGGCAATCTTGCTAAAAGTGTACGGATCAAACTTCTCCACATCGCAGAAGCAATGGCAATTCATCTGCTAAATCCTGAACTTTGCATAAAAAAGAAATTCGTTCATTCATTAAATCTACAATGGACGTAATCTTTCTTAATTTCAGTCTTACTAATTGTATTATTTTGTCTTTTGCATTTTATTATTTCACATCTTCATTTATATTATTCTCTACCCCACCCTTTTGTAATCTCTACCCTCATTAACAATGTTGCTAACTTGACCCACGTCCAATATCTGGTCAACTATGTTGCGTCATCCGATTAGCTTACTTATTTTCAACTGTATTATTCTCTAACCCCACCCTTATTTAATTTTAACCACCACTCATTAACACTGTTGCCAACCTGACCTACTCTGAATTCTACCCAACTGTATTACGTCATTCAATTCACTTAATCAATTCTATTTTATTTTCTATCTTAACGTTTGTCTCCAAGCCAAAAGATACTTATATTACATAATTATCTAAACTTTATAAATCTAATGTACACACACACAAACAAAATTGTATAAATATGAGATTGTACAGCTCAGTGAATGAGTTCGCCGAAAAGAGTCTCTTCGCTGAACGCCTTCTTTTCTTTTATATTTCAATATTGTCAAAATCAATTTCGTGACCTGATTTTATAGCGTGTAGATGATTTTTCAAGCCTTTTTTAGTTCACCTGGATTTCTCGGTGGTCAAATGTACGAGGCGGCTGTATGGTGTTCATTTCTTCTGATTACCTTGATTTCTGTCTGGTGATGTTTGTCCAATGTAGTTGGCATCACACATTACAAGTATTTTATTCTATAGATGCAGTTAGATTGAGAATCTTGTGGAATACAGTCTCTTACATGGACAAGGTTGCCTTTCAGTTTGTGTGTGTGTGTGTCTGATGTTTTGAACATAGAAAACTCTGGTGTTGGGCCTATTGAGTACTCCTCTTCTCATAACGTCTGGTATTTCTGATGTGTACTTAATAACGACTGTTTGGGTCCATTCATTTTTTCGGAATACGTGTTTTCGACCGTGTTTGATGTTGGTGTTGGTTTTGTTGATTAAGTTCTTTGGGTAGTTATATTTCGTTGTTGAGAATTTCAGTAATGTCTAATATTTCTTCTTCTACTGTTTCCTTCTCTCTCGTTAACATCAAAGAGTATGCTCATCTAAGAAGATTTGAGACAACTGATATCTTTGCACTGATGGGATGTGATGATCCGAAGTCTAAATATTTGTCGTTGGAGTGTATTTTCTTCCTGAATATAGATATACAAATTAAAATATCCGTATTCCCTCGACTTAACTAGACAGTCTAGAAATGCTGGGATCACCGAAGTCTGATTCCACCTGCTTTCAAAGTACACTGGGGTGTTGGGACTATAGACTGTTTGGACAGTTTCTCCAAGAATGAATTTGTAGGTTTCGTTTTCGCACAACGAAGGAAATTATCACCAACATGCATCTCAGCCATATTTTTTTAAGCTTTAGTATGTTTAGAAAGATGTTGTCTTCAAATGTATTCATGAAGAGATCAGTAACTTTCGTTTCTATTTTCTAAAATGTCTATTCATATAAATACGTATATATATATTCACATAAATTCCCTTCCTACATGTTTCTTCTACCCTATTAGATAATGTTACATATTGATCATGTAAAAGTCCCCCCGGCAGCAGCTTGGAGTTGTAAACCAGAAAAACCCTACACAAAACAACAACTTCAAAAATGTTTAATCGGTGAACCTATTGTATTTGGTCCAGGGAAAACAGGAGAAAACAGAATTGATGGTAAGTGACATTTGCCTGCCGTTTGTCGAGATAGTCTTTAGACCTACAAATACCTCTTAATATCAGATTTGACTTTGTAGCGCAAAAAATTCACCCCGTGTCAGAAAATTTCCGAAGACAAAAGAAAATTTGAGCAAAGAATATTCTTTTCGATAGTTTCAATGTATATTTGTATGCACAGAATATTCTAGATTATTTGCCCTCTTAGGAAACTGGTGTCTCTTATATAGTACCGATTTGTTAAGTATACAGAAGCTTACCGGTTTCGGAAGGCCTCTTTTGACTATGTAGATGACATCCTCCTACATATTGAGTGACCAGTGTCGAATATATGTTGAATTATAGCACTCTTTATTGATCTCCTGTTACCTTTTTGCGTAGTCAGGCGGGATAATATTCTTTGACTGTTTTAGATAAAACACTCATCGAACGACCTAAACATCTCGCTCCACATGAACAAGTGAACTGGTAGATACACATTGAAGCGAGAATACTAATCGTAATGTGGCAGCAGAGAATGTTATCTTCAAGGCGTCAGTTATTCTACTCTTTTAGATGTCGGCCAGAAGGTGTTGCCTTTGAACGCCACATTCATGTATAGCATCTTCTTTGGCATAGAGATGAGTTGTTCTTTATTGATTTTCAGCTTTCTATGTTTACTTATGAAGCGTGATGGATAGCCATTCTCAACTAATGTCTTCCTCAAAAGAGTGATCTCCTTTTCTACTGATTCGGGGCTGCATATTCTACGGATCATAGTTGCAAGAGATATTATGAAGTTCCGCTTGCGATGGGTACCCAACTGTAAAAGTTTGTCAGCTGGCCCTTTAACGTAGGCTTCCGATATACTGATCTCTTTAGGGTCCCATCAGTCACCTTTCTTAGTAGAACGTTCAAAAATGAGATTGTCACTCCGATTTCTGCATCAACTGTAAATTTGATGTCTGGATGGCAGCCATCGAAAGCTTGAAGGATATTATTTAGGTTGCATTCCTTGTCACAGATTATCAAAGTGTCATCGACGCACCTTTAGTTCAGAGAGAAAGTGTAGATTGTTGGTTTCAATGGATCATTTTCCAGACTTGCCATGAAAATATTCACAAGTAACGGGCCTAAAAGTGAATCCATAGCCGCAACATCTTTCTGTTTTTAAATAGTACTACTGAATGTGAATTGCATGTTCAAAGTGCATCTAAGTAGAAGTTCTTTTAAAAAGGTGCGGTAATTCCAATATTCAAGTTGTTGTCTTCCAAGTACTTGCATTAAAAAACAAATCGTTTCTGTAATCCAGGTATTTGTGAAGAGAGATTCAACATCATGCGGTTGTCGCCTAATTTCACATCTTTGATACAGTCGACAATTTCAAGCGTATCACGAAGACAGTATTTTGAAATTTGTTCTCTAACAGGCTGGAGGAGTTCTGCCAGTCATTTTCCATTTGAATGGTATGGATAACTGGACATGTCCAAAATAGGGCAAAACGGAAGACACTGTTTGTGGGTTTTGGGTAATCCATAAAGTCAAGATGTTAGTGAACCGGTTGGTGGAGTGCTCTCGTAGACATTTCCAGAGATGGTTGATCACTTTTAAGCTTTCTCAATATCCCAGTGAGTTGCATTTCTGGAGTGGAATTACCACACTTCTAGAAAGATGCATCACTAATAATAACCTTTAAAAGTGTAATAGTAAATAGAATATCAAGTATCAAGTCAGTAAATTTCTACAACAAATTAGACATCAGTAAAACCTACATTGACAGCCAAGGTAAGGAAAGTGTCTGAACCAACTTCTTCTTCTTCCGGATACATAAGTTAGGCTTCTTAATGTAGATTCCATCAGCCAGCCTCAGCAATATGTGTGACAGAGGAACTCTTGAGGTAAAATAAGGATTATTTGGTGTAAGGTTGGTAACTTTGAAAGCCGCCTTGTGAACATTACTTTTGTGTTTTGTATCAATGAAATGAGGCAGTAGAGAACTATGTTTGGCTTTTGTTTGTACCTTGTTTAACCACCATGCAGGATGGTGTTCAGAAATGCGACGATAGTCACGCCTAACTGTATGGCATATATAACCAACTGGCTCCATAAGTTAGTCAAACTAGTAGATACACATTGATGAGTCGAAATTAGGTTGTTTATCTTTAACTCGCGAACGTAAAAGTAGGGGTGGTTTCGAAGAGACAGAACACTTCAGTGACACTGAATACTCTTTATACCACCGTATTCCTTAGGCGTTGTGTTAATATCCCACTGATGTTACCACCGAGGAACTAAATTAGTAAGAACAAGGAGTTTGTCGGAACTATTGGTACTCTGACCTGCCATGGGTAACCGTTCTCGCTCAGTAACTGTTTACTAGTATTAAACTCCTCATTAGGACATTCATCAGAGCAATTTGCTTATGTTCTGTGTGTTGATTGTGTTTGGATCATAGAGATAGGAAGCTGCAGGGAAGGAGTATACTGACCAGTCAATGTAGGTTTTCTACACACACTTCTTATTATACCACCCTCCTTTCTGGTCACAACGACGTCTAGGAATCATGTACTATGATATCTTTTTCGATGGCAAAATTTATTTCAGGATGGATATCGTTAACTTTGTTCAGGGTTTTCATTGCTTCGTAATTAAAGACGCATCATCCATGTAACGACAGTAGAATTCTAGTCCATCCAATACATCTTTCAAAGACCCATTCTGTAGTTTTGCAAGGGAAATCTTTTTAGTTTAATTGAGAGCCAAATAAAGTCCATTCATAGTTCTCTACTGCCTCATTTCATTGATACAAAACACAAAAGTAATGTTCACAAGGCGGCTTTCAAAGTTACCAACCTTACACCAAATAATCCTTATTTTACCTCAAGAGTTCCTCTGTCACACATATTGCTGAGGCTGGCTGATGGAATCTACATTAAGAAGCCTAACTTATGTATCCGGAAGAGAAGAAGAAGTTGGTTCAGACACTTTCCTTACCTTGGCTGTCAATGTAGGTTTTACTGATGTCTAATTTGTTGTAGAAATTTACTGACTTGATACTTGATATTCTATTTACTATTACACTTTTAAAGGTTATTATTAGTGATGCATCTTTCTAGAAGTGTGGTAATTCCATCCATTGTGACCTTGAAAAATCATTATTACTTAAGAGACACCAGTATTCTTAATGGCGACTAATCTAGTTTATTCTGTGTATATAAGTATACATCGAAATCATCGATGGGCTACTGATATCACATGCTGAAAGTTCCATACTTGTGTCAAACATACTGTGTGGAGTCTAGCTATAATAAAATAATAATAATAAATAAAGATGTTACGTTAAACACTCGAATAAAGGAAGTTAGGACAATCTGATATCACGGAGTTTTGAAGTTCACAGCGTATTAATTCGCGTATATTACCCTTTCTTCTTTATCGCTCCCCTGACTTAATCTTTCCTAAACTGTCTAAGAAAAGCTTCCTTCAAAATAATAAAGAAGATACGATCAAACTTAGCAAAGGGAGTAAAATCACGACATCTGGGCATAGCCGAGGCACTAGCCATCCAAAAGCTCAAACCCACACTATGTGTCCAAAAGAAATACGTTCAACCCTCGTCCTTGCCGTGGCCATCATAAACAGGTGATTCTTCCAGTAGTGACTATCCTATTGACTTTCTCAGCCAAACTTCCTGTTTGTTTATTCATGTTATTTTTAAGTTTTTCTTAATCCCTATTTACACTACCATATTTTCTTATCCGAACTTTCTGTATGTTTTGTCATTTTATTATTTCTACATATTTAATCTCTGATTGCATAAACAATTATTCGTCACATTAGTTATGATCCCACTAGATTTTTATCCAAACATCCTGTCTATTGTTTTATTGCTACATTTCTAACCCCTAATTTCACAATATGTCAATCTTCTCAGTAATAATGATGCTACTTTGTTCGAGTTTTATCCGTCCCACCCTGTTTATTATGGCACTTTAATTACTAATTGTAATTTTATTAATTTGACCCTTGACGGGAAATTATTCTGGAACTCTCCTACCCATTTATTATAAATACACAAATGTACAGCCTTGTTGATGATTTCGTCGAAAGAAACTTTTCTTCGCTGCAACTGATTCCGTGATTTAAAGGCTTCTTTATATTGCGAATAGCTCTCAAAGCTATCATTCCAGTGATTGTGGGGCATCAGTCGAGTGGTATCCCAATGGGAAGGGACTTGTGAGTCGTCGGTATGAGGGTGACATTGGAGAGATCGTGTGAGTTGGAGGAGGAGATGAGGGATTATGGGCAGTCGTGGAGCCAGCCAGCCAGCCAGCAAGCCAGATAGAGAGGACAACAGAGAATAGAACAAAGCTGAGATGTGTCGTTAAGGTGCTATGTTCTTCTCGGAACTTAAGTGACTAATAATACTAATAACAATAATAAATCTACGAATCCTTTGTTTTAAACCATCTCACCATAATCTTACCCACACCTTTTTTTTCTCTTATTTCACACCTTTAAATATATTTAGGTGGAGAATCAGGTCTTGACAAGCTGTCTCTACAAGATCCTGCTTCAATTGTCGATGGAAAACATACATTCTTTGAAGTATACAGTGGCAAGACAATATCCCAGTTTGTACCACCATGTCCAAAAGTTACACGATTCTGTGATAAAGTTTTAGACACAGTAAAACTGATCAATAATCATGGACATGCTCGAGATCTTGTTATCTATCATCCACGTCTTATTATTCGTATGGTAATAGCATCACCACAAATGAAACCAGACGTGTTAGAAAATATTAAAACACGTCGTGAAGCATCACAACTGCATGGAAATTCAAGTAATACTTCACTACAGAATACAGTGAATATTCGTCAGAAACGTGAGAACACCATAAATACGAATACTAATGGTACCAGTTATGTTGGTCATCCGGATAAAATTGAAGAATATATGCCTGAATTTGATTTTGTACTAACAAGTTTAAAACGAAAACAAAAAGGCGGTAAGCTTTTTTTATTTTAATTTTTTTAACAATATAATGCGTTCAAAATTCAGTGGATAGATTTTTCAAATTTCGCGTTGGATTTTAGCAAAGGAAAATAGAAAATATTCAGTAATAGTAAAAGCATAATCTTGTCTTCTGTTTTGTGTTTTCCAAGATTAGGAAAATACACAAGCTGGCAAAGCGATCTATCTCGTATTCGTTACTTCGCTTCAAAGCTGTAAAGCTACTTAAGAGGTTCAAGTATATCATGTCCATTTTGCGACCGTTGGCACTGGGAAAGCAGGAAGTAGACAGCTGGATAGTTGCTGTTTCACCCTAGTTTGCAACACTTTAGCAATAGGCACTACCGGGGTTGCTTGCACTGTATATTGGCGAAATCGTAGAAGTTGTGATTCATCGGTTGGCCATTGAATCGGGTAGCTCCCAATGGTTCCTAGGTCTACGAGCTCCACACACATTGAGTTGGAGGGCTGTGAGTTCAAATCATGATTGGTGCATAGTGTTGAAGTATAGTTCCAAACTAGGCTGAAGAAACATCTGTCTGCCCAGAATTCCCTGCTTGTTTTCCAGTGGTTCTCTAGCCGATGTCACCTCATGTTGACACCCTGTATCCAGATTTAACAAACAGTTTTCACCTTAAAACTGTAAGGACTTAAAGTGAGGAATTTATTCTGGGAGGAATATTCTGTGTGATTGAGACCGACTTTTAACTTAAGTCAAGACATTAACCAATGTGGGCGCTGTCTTCATCTTCGCATCTATGAACATAAAATAACCGTCAAGAAACATGATATCCTCTCCCTCATATCACCGCACACAGACCACAGCAGACGTCGAATTCGACGGGGACAACATTCTAATATTAGACAGAGGAAACACCAAGAAAGCCAGGGGATTTCCAGAAGCCTGGTATTCCAGTGAATCGATAATCAATAGACACATTGAAAAGAACAAGATTTACCAATCAATTAGAAGAAAATCTCTTGCATGAAAGGTCAGACTTCAGGTTAAAGAAACAATCAATAAGAATACAAGTAGAATAGAGGGTTTGAAAACACACAAAAGCAACCAATCACGACGTTTAAGGTTGCCCACCAGAAGAGATGACTGATAAACTCGTGGAGAATTATCAAAGCTCACTTCAACAAATTAAAATATGCTCTGAAGGTGTCGCCTAGTATTAAGGCAATATGAGCTTTTCAAGTAAACTGCCCAGCCAGCCTAGAGAACACAACTACCCCTAAGCTACAAATCTTTCCCATTATATCATCTAATATCAAGAATTCAAAGTGCAGTGCATACTGATAGCAAGTCACCTAGTTTGTTGGTGGCCACATGACTGAAGGAATTCGGTTTGGACCAAGCAAAGGACTAGACACACTAAACTAGTTACTAACTAGTATCCAATCAAAGTATTCAATATATTCTTATAATATATCAGTCACGACCCCGAATAGCTCAGCAGTATCATCTCCGAATGCTTGCAGCAGTGAGTAACTTGGGCTCGAATCTCGGAAGGGAAATGATTTCCTTCAAGGGTCCATGTACGCCTCGCTGACTGATGTATGGCAACTAGCACCAAAACCTAGGTCGAGCAAGCTTCCTGAAGATTACCTCGAAACATTTAATAACAAAAATTCAGAGCACAGTGTGAAGGCATGTTAGCTAGTATGGTGACCACATTGCAAAAGCTTTGCCGATAGAATTCAGTCTGCACCAGATGAAAGACTTAAAGCATGCCATTTCAGTTTTTACCCTAGTCTTCAATCAAAGTAGTGAGTAATATGAAAGAACCATAATGAAGACAGTGGTGAACGCCTTTTTACAAAGTTGGCTGAATAAAGGGAAAAAAGCAACTGCATGAAGTTCTCACAATCGAAGAAGTCGTAGTTCTTGTGGTTATTCTTCACTGATATTGCGGTATGCGAGAGAAACAAAAGGTCACCTATTATCAACAATGACATTCATAATCACGGTTGACTGGATTATGTGGAAGGCAGTGTGTTGGAAGTGCGAAGATGTGAATATTCTGGATCAAGAAGAAAACTCTGGAAGATTTCGATTTCACGGATAATTTATATTTCATTTCACACAAACTCGAGCACTTGCAGGCGAAAACAAACAAACATGGCTGAAGAAGCAGGACTTCAGGTCGAAACAGAGAGAATGGAGGTGATGGAGATGCCTGACCAACCAACAACAGTCAGCATCAGTCACTCTCAACGGGAGAACTTTGAAAGAGGTTACTTCAATCACTTACCTAGGAAGCCTCGTTTCAACTATAAGCAGAAGGATGGATGAAGACGTCAACAGAAGGTTGGATCGGAAAGACGAGATACACCCTCAACAATATGAAATCAGTATGGAAATCTTCTTCCTCAACTCAGCATAAGGAACAAGATCCGGATATTCAACACCAATGTTAAGTAAGTCAGTCAGTCAGTTCTTCTAAATGGGTTAGACACTTGGCAAACGCATCACGAAGGGCCTTTCCAACAGCCTACTGCAGACTTTTATCAACAGCTTACACCTTCGCTGCCAATACTAATATTGCGGTATGTAGAATTTCAAATTGTGCAGTATGAGTAAGGCTAAGTGACAAGCAAGGGCAAAGGCAAAACTTCACATCACTCTTGTCTTTCCTTGAATTAAACATCACATGTAAACTACAGTGATGCGACGGTTAATTAGCATAACCTAGCTCTGCAGAATATGTAGATTGTTAGACACATGAACGCAAAACAAAACTGAATATCTGTTATTCATTATTTAACCTACTACTTTCCGGAATATCTTGCAGACAAACAGGTTTAATCTTATCAGACAATGAATTCAATCTAAAGCGCTCCTCAAGTCGTCTAACATTCAAGTATTAGTTTGTAGGAATTTGAATGATTCGTTTCAAGATTTCATCATGAGCTGACACTAGTTAGAGAACCACTGGAAAACCAGCCAGGGAGTACTGAACAACTGTTTCGTCAGCCTAGTTTTGAACTCCACTTCATCAGTACGCACCCATAGTTAAAGTTCGAATCCAGGCCCTTCTGGTTACAAGGTGACCTCGTAGATCATTAAGTCACTGGGACCAGACCCACTGGCCAACTCGTGAATTCCAAGATCTGTCAATTCATAATTTAGCGCGACTAGCATTAGCCAATGAATGTCATCTGTGGCGAGTAGTTGTCTTCACACTCGACCCTACTGGTCACCATTTTTCTCATTCGCAAAATGTCAGTGTGAAGAATTATTATTATTATTGTTCCCTTGGGTTCCTAGTGGAACGTAGGGCTTCAACTGCACGCCTCCACTTGCTTCTGTCTTCTGCTGTACTTTTCACTTGCATCCATGTTAGTCCATACTGTTTCATCTCCTCCTCACACGATCTCCTCCATGTCACCCTTGCACAAACGTCCCACTCGCCGCTTCCCTTTCGGGCTCCACTCGAGCAATGGCCTGACGCGCGATGTCACCCAGTGGCCTCCTCAGCGAGTGTTCAATCCATATCCACTTTTTCCTGCATATTTGTTGGACGATTGGTTCCTGTTTTGTTCGTTACCATAGCTTCTTGTTGGTGATTCTTTCCGGCCATCTAATCTTCAGTATAGAACGAAGACAGTTGTTGATCAAGGTCTGCAACAGGCTGTTGGAAATATTCTTGGTGACCCGCCAAGTTTCTGATCCATCCGTATAGAAGAACTGACTGACTTGACGTTTGTATTGAAAATCCGAATCATTTTGTTGTTGATGCTGAGTTGAGTGACAGCGGAAGATTTCCAGATTGGTTTCAGGTTGATGAATGTGTTTCTCGCCTTCCCGATCCTCGATTTGACATCCTCGTCCGTTCCTCCTGTGGTTGAGACAATGCTCCCCAGATAAGTGAATGGAGTAACCTCTTTCAAATCCCTCCCGTTGATGGTGATTGGCACTGGATGTTGCTGCTGTTGTTGTTGTTGTTGGTTGGTTATTTTCATGACCTCCGTCTTATCTATGCTCACCTGGAGTCCTGTCTTTGCTGCTTCTTCGACCAGTTTGTCGGTTTTCGCTTGTAAGTCTTCAATTTTGTGTAACATCAAACATAAATCATCCACGCGCGAAATCCAGGTCTTCTAGGTTCTTCACATCGGTCCAGGATATCCCTGTCTCCTCGTTTCCCACTGTCTGACGCATAATCCAGTCCACCACAGTTAGGAATATGATTGGTGATAATAATCACCCTTGTCTGACTCCTGTGTTTACTCCAAACGCTTCGCTGAGTTTTCCGTTGTGGATCACTTGACATGTGCCGTTGTCGTACAGTTGTTGAATAAGGTTGATGAATATTTGGGGTACGCCATAGTACTCGAGTAGTTTCCAAATTACTTCGCGGTCAACGCTGTCTGTCGAAGGCCTTCTCAAAGTCTATGAAGTTGAGGTAGAGATTTGATTGCCATTCCATACTTTGTTCGATTATTGCGTAGAGTTGCAATTTGGTCAGAAAATGATTTGCCTTTCCTGAATCCAGCTTGTTCTGGTCGGAGTTCTGTATCCAGTGCGTCCTTGATTCTCTCCAGGATGATGCGATTCAGGATTTTACTTGGCGTCGACAGGAGCATGATTCCTCGCCAGTTCTTGCAGAGTCCCAGGTCGCTCTTCTTTGGTAGTTTCACTAGGTAACCTTTCCTCCAGTCAGTAGGCACCTTTCCCTCTTTCCAGATCTTTTGCAATAATGGAGTCAGCATATCTGCTGTCGTTTCTGGGTCCCAGTGTGAAGAAAGTTGATACTTTTTTGGTGAGAGCTGATTGAGGCAAGACAACTGGTTAGAATTTTATATTACTTTTTAGGTCTACAGTTAGTCAGATTTTCTCAGTTGTCTGATCAGAAATAACAAATATAGGATATAATGTGATATAATGGAACTTCCTGTTCGCCATCACTAAACAACGAATATAAAAAATTAAATTTATTGATTCCTACTGAAACAAAAAACAATGACTTCAGCGAAGAAAATACTCTTTTTCTGTGGTTTCATTTTGTGAATTCATATATACATATATATATATATATATATTGTAAATTATTTACAGATTAATTATAATTCACAAAATACCCTGCAATGACTGTGAGTTAATTCAACTACATAGGTAAAACTAGTAGATTGGGGGTAATCAGATTGTCGGAACATAAGAATTTAGCTAAGGTAAGAATGGTTGACCCCGAGAAGATAAGTAACGTAGAAAAAAATCTCAGCAATTGTACTGCATGCATTAACACACAACCACACAATAGGGTGGTGGGAGAGGATTAAAATTCTAAAAAGTAATATTTGTATGTGGAGAGCGAGAGAGATGTTGATTACTGAATCCTTGTTCATCGAATCTACACCCAATACAACACATGCAATAGGAATGACTGATCACTTTTACCGGAAATATGGGAAATACTACTACCAATCAAGCCAAGCGATGGAAAATAATGATGGAATTATATAAACGAAGTTGGAAAGTTGTGTGGATACCTTGATATTATTATGAGCAATAATTTGTGTTCGAAACGTGGTCGTCAGTAAATATTACTGTGTAACACTGTGAGACTATGAAAACAAGTTTTACCCATAGTGAAATTATACTGTACCACCACAGTGCACAAGTTTTTTTCTTAAATCATTGGAAAACCGACTATGGAGCAACGAAAAACTGTTTCGTCAGCCTAGTTTTGGACTCCACTTCAAGACTACTCACGCAAATATCCAGGGTTATTGGTGAAATCTTTAAGTGACAGAGCACAAAAACTAAGTAGTACCAAGGAAAATCAAAGACAGGAAGTGAGGTATATAAGAGAAGCTTTGAAACTTAATAATTACCCTGATAAATTAGTCAGAAAGTATATAGGGAAATGTAAAAGTTTAAATAAAATAAATAATGATAGTATTGATAGTGATAATAATAATAATAATAATATTAATGACGACATGCAAGTCAAATGTGCAACAATAAGGAATCTAAATCATCAGTAGTAATTCCAAACAAAGAAGGAACCTTGGAAAGCTAACGCAGAATTCTTAACAAGGCAGGAATAAAAGTGGTTCGCATTCAAACCCCCACAAATTCAATTAGAAACAAGCTTTGTCGGTTGAAGGATTCTATGAAGACTTTAAAACAAAACAATTTAGTTTGTCTAATACCCTGCTTGTATGATTACCAGTTAGGTCAAATACATAGGTCAAAGTAGTAGAACAGAGGCAGTCAGACTAGTGGAGCATGAAAACCCAGCAGCAAAATCTAGATTAGCTGACCTGAATAAGATAAGAAATCTAGAGAATAGTTCAGCTATAGCAATACACCACATGCAATTCCACACAACCATACAATAGAATGGGATGGAATAAGATGACAGTTTTAAAATCTAATGTGATAGCAGGGTGGAGGGAGAGATTGATAAGTGACTGAGGCTTTGTTTATCGAATCAACTACAAACACGTGCAATAGGAATGATTCAACACCTGTCCAGCCGGATATCTGGAGAGTTCTACTACCCCTACGAAGACAAATAGGAGAGAACAAAAGAAACTGTAAACCTCAAGATTCGAAGTCGTGTGATTATAAGTGATATGATTATGAACAATGGTGAACTGTGTTCGACACACTGTCATTCAGTAAATAACAATACTGTTTCACTCTCTGCGTGATACATCTAATAAACAAACTAATATGGAATTATTTACTACCACAGTGCCTAAGTCTCACACATATATTAATCCAGAGTTCAAACCCAGAACCTTTCAGTTACAAGGCGAGCTCAAAGACCATTCAACATCCACTAGGACCAGATCCAATGACCAACCCATGAATTCCATCTTCTGTCAATTCACGATATAAAGCAGTTGACGGTAGCCAATGTCATCGCTGACGAGTATTATTCCTTGTACCCCACTATTTGTTAAACCCCACTGGTGACGTCTCCACACTAGAACCCAGGTAACTACCTACCTGAATAGAGCCAGTCGCTAGTGAGTAATCCCAGACCTTTCAATGGTTCTCTAATGTATATCAGCTGATAATGAAATCCTGTAACCTAATGTTATTATAATATGGCTACTCGCAATCTACTAGTCTGATCTATATGATTAGTTCACCTCTCATTTATTGCATGGCATTTTTTAGATTACGCTATTTTTGTCTAATTGCGGGGGGGGGGGGGGCGTCTAAGGTCTCTTAGTCCAATGGTTCAGCAGTAGAACGCTTGCTAACCACGCGCGTGGTTCGGGGTTCGATTCTAAGCCGGTGCACTTTTAAGCCTCACTGAGCTGGTAGTAGTAGTAGGGCCGGAAAACAGGAAAGGCCGGGGGTGAGGCAAGCAACCTCACCCCGTATAAATTAACATCACTGCTATCGAAAATTCAAAGTTTCTTTACCTTGAAACCTTACCTTCCACTGGGAGGGTAGGCCACAGAGTTTCTCTCTCTCTGAGTAAGTTGGTAAGCTTAATTAATATAAAAGCTTAAATATTTATATTCCAATTTTCATATTCATTTTTCATCTAGTCCAATCGTGTGGCGAAGACTGGGAGTCATGTGATTCAGAAGTGTGTATACCGAAGACATCTTGGTGTGATAAAATCATCAATTGTCCACAATGGCAAGATGAAGGAGCTCATTGTAAAGATGAAGGTAGGCTAATCTCTTTCGACTTTTAGTTTATTCCTTTCTGTAATATAAATGTAATCCATAAAAAAACATACATTATTATTTGTCTTGTTATTATTATTATTATCATCATCATAATTCCCTTGGGTTTGAGTGGAGCATAGGGCTTCTGCAGCACATCTTTCTGAAGTGTCTCTTTTAGCTGTCTGGCTGACTCCACGATAGCCTATAGGCTTTCAGGCAAAGTTCAGCAATAGCGTCCCAAGGGATGTGAATGCGCGAGTGCCTTTCAGCCGACCAATCATAAGAATAAGTGACTTTTCCACAAAAAATGACGTGTAATTACAAGAAAACGCATGAAAACACACTGAACAGGTTATCATCCTCTGACACGACTTAAAAATACCTCCCAGTTATAATGAGGAGTATCAGTTGCCAAGTTAGACTAGTTTCTGTACATGGGTATTCACCGAAGTGACTAAAGATAAGCTGTTTTTGTGAATCATTCATCTCTTTTATCCTGTTGTGCAGTCTTCCGCAAAAGCCCTCAGTTGAATTACTATGGTTTCCAGTAAGGGGATCGACGACTGCTTATCAAGAAAATGTGGATGATAAAACAAATTAAAATAAATGGCATCAACTATAAATCTATCCCAAATCATAACCCTTACTTTAATCCTAACCCTAATGATAACCCTTATACAAACCGTAATTCCAACCCTAATGATAATTAGAACCCTGATCCTAACTCTAACCCCAATACTTACCTTGACTCTAATCCTGACCCTTATGAGCTATTAACACATTGTCCAAACAGTACTTAAAAACGTGATCTGGGTGAAATTTTCTGCTTAGCTGGTGAATAGCTTTGATATTTCAGCTATGATAATGATCTAGGTGCCTTTAGCCAACGACTAGCATGCATTCAAGGTCATTGGAGCATTCGCACTCCTGGTAGGCTATTGTGGAATTTCACTGGGTTAGGGTCAAGATTAGAGTCAAGTTTACGATAAGGGATAGGTTCAGATTTGGTATTATTTATTTTGATCTGTTTAATCACCCACATTTTCCCGGTAAGTAGTCGTCGATTCTCTTACTGGAAACCATAGTAATTCAACCGAGGGATTTAGGAAAGACTGCATTTTCATGTAGATAAATGTCATCTCTTTGTTCGAAAATTCCTCACTTTTGTGATTGGTCGACTCAAAGCCACTCATGAGTTCGCATCCTTTGGGACGCTACTGTTGAACTTTGCCGGCTTTCATGTCTACCTCCTGCTCACATTATCGCCATCAATGTCACTGAAAAACCACAGCGCATTTCGTTATTTCCTATTCAGGTTTCCTTTCAAAAGATGGTCTGGCCTTGCTGGAGCGTCATGTCAATCAACGGTCTCTTCAGAGTGTCCAGGGCATCTCCATTTTCTTCATTATATCTGCTGGATGATGAAACGTTGTTGGCTTATCCTTTCCGACTGGCTATCTCATCTTCAATATAGAGTTGGTCAGAAAAGGCAGCTGTTCATTAAATTCTGCAGTAGCCTGTTAGGACTCTTCAGGAATGAGTACCCACAACCCCATCAGGGAGTGAAGCCAGGATCTTTACATGTTAAGGAGCCCAACTGGCTGTCCATTCAGTCACATGGACTGGCGGAATCCAGTGACTCGTGAATTCTGACTTTGTCAATAGGGGTGATAAAGTACTATCCTCACCAATGCTTTCAATGGGCCTAGATATTATTATTGTTCCCCTGGGTTCCTGGTGGAACATAGGGCTTCAACTGCACGTCTCTACTTGTTTCTGTCTTCTGCTGTATTTTTCACTTGCATCCATGTTAGTCCATACTGTTTCAACTCTTCTTCACACGATCTCCTCTATGTCACCCTTGGACGTCCCACTCGCCGCTTCCCTTTCGGGTAACACTCGAGCACTGGCCTGACGCGCGATGTCAACCAGCGGCCTCCTCAGCGAGTGTCCAATCCATCTCCACTTTCTCCTGCATATTTGTTGAGCGATTGGTTCTTGTTTTGTTTATTCCCATAGTTTGCTTCTTGTTGGTTCTTGTTCTTTCCGGCCATCTCATTGATCTTCAGTATAGAACGAAGACAGTTATTGTTGATAAAGGTGTGCAACAGGCTGTTGGAAATATTCTTTGTGAAGTGTCAAGTTTCTGATCCATACGTATAGAAGAACTGACTGACTTGACGTTTGTATTGAAAATCCGAATCATTTTGTTGTTGATGCTGAGTTGAGTGACGAAGATTTCCAGATTGGTTTCAGGTTGATGAATGTGTTTCTCGCCTTCCCGATTCTCGATTTGACATCCTCGTCCGTTCCTTCTGTAGTTGAGAGGGCCTCATTGGTCACGACCTATTGGAACAACAGAAGACAACAGCCAAGCAACAGATCGTTTATTGAGAAAATCAAGAGATATTTATACCGAAAATACCCATTGAGTCATGAAGAAAATAAAAGACAGATTCAGCGAAGAAAATTTTTTTCTTTATCGACGAAATCATCTTCAGAGGCTGTACAATCGTATTTATACTTACAAAAATATATAGTGGTCTATTATTGAGTAATAGGGGGTGACATAATTGATATAATTACTCAGAAGTGGCTTTAGAAGTGAAAATTACGTGGTACTCAACGGCAAAAAGATAGAAATTTGATAAGGTTAAAATTGCTATTAAGTGAGAATAAAGGTATTTGAGTGTCAATTTAACAAGTGTGAAGAGGGTAGATATTTATACATATTTTTATGTACATTATTCTTCGTTATTGTTAGCAGAGAAGCAACGTCTTCTGATTGATTGTTTTCTTGCTGTAGCTTATTCTGCACTGGTTGTGACTGTTTCTTAGAAAATTAAGCCATATATCTGCGAATCGTATTTACGCACGCTAAATCTCCTGTGATTGGTTGTTGAGTTCATCAAGGTTGGGCTTTGTTTTTGTTTTTTTTCTCATGACTCCAATTCGGGACGTAAACATTGACGTAAATTGTTGTTTACAATTTTGTCTTGCAGACAGCTCTCACCACACTATCACTACATCTTCAGGATATCACCCTCCGTATAAGGATCAACCTGCTGGAGACTGATATTTAAATTATGCGATTTGTGAAGATTTCGATTAGAATTAATTTATTTCAATAATCCTCGAGAATCCCGTATTCTGAACGTAAATACGATTGTACAGAACTTGTTGAAAAAAGTGGAATTTTCCCCTCTGTCATACCTTCCTTTGTTTATGACGAAAATTATGGGGATTTTTCTTAGGCTAAAGAATGACCTGCAAGGCTGAAGACACCAGCATACTAAGAAATGATTTAATATAATTTTGGATTTTCCCGCCGATTGATTGGACAGAAGTGCTTGGTCTCAGGTCGACATATTGGCTCCTTGTGCATATGCTTCAACGATGTTTGCCCATGTAACTTGAATTCAACTGGTGGTTAGTGACTAGCAGTGGAATCCAGGATGAGCAGTGGTATCGAGCCTCGGTGGTGACACCATCAATCACTGGAGAATGCAGGTACATCCCTCTAGCTGACGAATCTCAAATAGGACGAAATGCACATCCTGGATGCCACTACTAGTCACGAACCACCAACTGACTTCAAGTTATATGACTGGACATCGTCGAAGCATCTGCACAAGGCGTCAATAACATGTCAACCTGAGATCGAGCACTTCGGTCCAATCCATCGACGGGAAAATCTAAAATTGAATTGAATAAATAATAAGACTCTTTGCTCAGAACTGATTACACTGAAATGATTTGCATATATGTGTGTGATACTGAAGAGTCCTAAACTGGGACGAAACAGACACGCAAATTCTCTAGTCATTTCAGCTTCTTTTTTTTTAAATTTAAATAAACATCACTGTATGATTTAATGTGAAACTCTCTCTCATTGTGTTCTTTTATTCTCTCTCTACACCAATTTAAGATTCTGACGCACTTGGTCCAGATGGTCGACCATTACATGATTCTGGTAAAAGTAGTTATGAGTTAAGAAAAGAACAAGAACATCTTGAAGCTGAAACTGAACGTCTCGCAGCACAAACATTACATCTTTCGATATTGGCTAGTTTAGGCTTATTACTGCTGATAGTCACATCAACGTGTATCAGTAAGTTTGATCGCTGTTTTTTTTTACTCTTATCGAATTATTTATATGTCTGTTTGTGTTTTTATATAAGTTAGTATGGATACGAAGAAGAAGAAGAAGCAGACAGCAAAAGCAGGACTTCAGGTGAAGAGAAGTGGAGAAGACAGACGTGATGAAAAGGATAAATCCTTTCACTATTCTAAGCAGCATCATTTCAAAACTACGGGTGGTAGCATTATTATTATTATCATTATTGCTTCCTTTAGTTCCTAGAGGAACATAGGGCTGTGGCCGCACGTCTCCATTGCGTTTGGTTCCCTGGGCTCCAAGTCTGCCCACACGCTTTCATCTCCTCTTCACATGACCTCCTCCATGTCACCCTCGCACTGACGTCCAATTAGCCACTTCCCATTCGGGTTCCACTCGAGCGATTGCTTGGGGTGTGATGTCATTCACTTGATGGTTTCTTTTCTCAGAGTATGGCCAGCCAATCCACCTCCATTTCTTCTTGCATATTTCTTGCACACACAATTGGTTCCTGCTGGGTTGATCCCATCCCAGAGATCCCTCACTACTGCTGATCTTTTCTGGCCGGCCATCTGATCTTGAGTAGTATTGAGCAAAGACAGCTAGCTGTTAATGAAGGTCTGTAGTTTGTTCAAAGTGCCCTTCGTGGCGCGGCACCAAATCTCTGATCCGTATAGTAAGTAGCACTGACTTCACCCACATTGGAGTTGAAAATCCGGATCTTATTTTCCATGCTAAGTGTGTTGTTGATCTCCTCCACACAGACTTGAGAGAAATGAAGCCTTGCCTTGCTTTCTCGATCACTCTAAAATCGGTTTGGAAATCTACTTCACTGTACCTATAGCATAAACATGAACATAACACGAATCTCAAAGAAGTTTTTGTTTATATGGCAAGATTGACTCGAAAAGCATTTCCAACAAGCTATTGCAGACTTCCATCAACAGCTGCTGCCTTCACTGTCTCCAACCTGAAGATAGGATGGTCAGCGAGAAGGACAAGTGTGGAATTTTCAGCATGCAACCGATATCCATGCTGAAAATTCCACACTTGTACTGAAAATACGGTGTGGAATCAAGCTGTAAATCAAAAAAAAAAAATTGTCAACAAGAAAGAGGCTGTGGGAACTAAACTACTCAAGAACCTGTTGCTCAACAGATATGACGAAGAACATGGAGATGGATGGGAAACATACGCTATGAAGATCACTGAGTGCCATTGCACGACGATAGGCCACTGCTCGAATGGAACTTGAATGGGTGACATGGATTAGATCAACATTTGAGAAGGAGAAAGAAAACCGATGGGTAATCATGAAGCCACCTAAAAGAAGACTTCAAAAAGGAAGAAGCGAAAAATGGAGTCCTGATGTTGAATACCTACGTTCCACCCGTAACCTAAGGGAATAATAGTAATATCTTTTTTAAATATTGAAATGTTTCTGAAATGAAAACGATTAGCTACTGCCCTCCACGTTCCACGGCAATGATGAAATTTGATATGAGTTGATATGACCGCCAATTTCGAGACGGTTGAGGATGTAAACATGGTACCTATATATAGCCGAATTGTGTATACTTTATATTCAACACACCATTTGCACAGATCTGTGTGTTGTGGTACTTCTGAACTTCATGTTGTGTTTCTTTATATTCCTTTCACGTCTTCCATGCATCTTCACAACTCTGTATTGTTTGTCTTCGCTGAAATCAAACGTATCTCTCTGCTATTTGATGCTTTTATACCCCGATGAATGTTTATTTGTATACTACTGAAAAATCTTATCAGTAGCGCTGGCCACACTATTACATATCTCAAATGAGATAGCGATAAATGGCACTCCTATGAAAACCGAATACCTACGTCGTGATTTCCAATCACTTCTGACCTCCCCTCAAAGTTGTCCAACTGGATTATAAGAAATCGTCTCCCACTGGCCGGATAGTTTAAACTTACCCATATTGGTTTAAGCTGATTTTTGCCTCTTCTACCTGGTTTCAAGATTATGCAACACTATATACTACTGACTGGTTGAAATAAGTAGTTGAATACTACTCACATCAGCCAGAGTGGTGTTTGCGAGCCAGATATATATATCGAAATGATCTAATCACCAGGTGGATGACCGTTTCGCTAATTCTGACCAGAGCTCATCAGCAGTATATCCGGATGGACTCATCTCAGAGAGCCAAATGAAGTTCAAGCTACCCGACTTCCTGTTAGCTGGCTGTCTGGTTACTTTGACGAAATGGTAACTTTAAGATTTAACCGAATATAACAAACAATTTCACAGTTTATTTCACATCCACTTAATCTATTAACTCTCAAAATTTTTTTTTGTATTTTATCGAAATTCTTGATTTGTTTTTCCTATCAGTTATGACATTCCGTCGTCGACGTCGTGAACAAGCTAGACATATGACAAAATTCACTGAAGAAACTGTTCAACCATCTTTAAAATTAAATCATAGAAGAGTTCAACGATTAAATCATGTTATGTCGACTGGTGCACTTCTTGAAGCTGATCCATATTTGAAAACACAAAATAATACGAATAATAACAATGATAATAATAATAAACTTAGACCAATGTTCTCATTATCAAATTCAAGTTTAACACAAGATAATCAATGTTCAACAGACGTTGCAAAACATGAGCTTAAAAAACCAATTAAAACATCTAGTAGTCGTAATACAACTGTATGGAATAGTACAGATAGTATGAATGCACCATTACTGTGGCAACGTAAACATGGTGATGAAGCGAAATCATCAACCAATCAAATTTCTCATCATAAGAATGACCTTAAGACATCATTACAAAATAGATTCAGTAAAACAACACCAACAACTATATCAGATAAATTAGTACAGAAAAAGAATATCACGGATCCTTTATTAATAAGCTATAATAATAGTAATATTAATATTAATAATGATAATTCTAATAGAAAGTATTTAGGCAAATTGAAATCATTTCAAATTTCAACAGAACACGAAATCTTTGAGTGTATTCCATCTCAATGTGTTAGCAATGCAGTCACTTCGATTACAACTATTACCACGAGTACAGGTAGCTCTAGTGCTGTCGGTGGTAGAACCGGCAGTCATGTGAATCATCTGCCGAGTATGATGATCAGTCCCCTAAAAGGTACAACTAATATTCTACGATGTAAGCCAATACATTCATCCTCATCACCAGGTGAAATGTCGACAGCAGCAGGCATACATGTCCCACATCAAATTTCTCTGGGTGAACAAGGCGGTGTACAAAAACGACAGCCGTTAGAACAACAACAACAAACACGACGAATTGGAAATAAAATAGGTTAGTTGGATTTAGAATTCTTTTCTTTTATGCCAGTTCAATAAATTTTTGAAGAGTTGGTTTGTATGGATTAAATTTGATTTTACGAGGTTGGTAACGGAGTGATATCAATTAGAGAACCATTGAAAACCTGCACTGAAGTAGTGGACAGCCGTTTCATCCTACTTTGGGAATCATCATCAGTATGCACCCACTGAGGTTCTAGTGAGAAATAGTGACCAGTGAGGTCCAACCAATCAAGTGTGAGGATGGATTTCACTCCAATAACATTAGTTGGTGGTCTCTCTAAATGACGAATCGGTAGAAATTAGAATTCATGGACTGGCCATTGAATCGGATCCCAGTGTCTGATTGGTATACGAGCTTGCCTTGTAACTGGAAGGTCCTGGGTTCGAACCCCACGATGAGAGTGCCGATGATTCCTAAACTAGGATGAAACAGTCAGCTGTCCGGTACTCCTTGGTTTTTAATGCTTCTCTAACTGATATCAATACGTGGTCAAACTCGTAAAAGTTCAATAAATGCTCCATTTCACTGACAACTGACCAACAGATGATCAGATGAAGAGTTTCATAAGGGAATTAATGAAACTTTTAAAGTTAAAGTACACACTACTGAGATGCTTGAATTTCATTAGTTGTAGGCAATTATGGAAAATTAAACCAAAGTAAGTGTGTCAATTTCACAGTGATAGAATGCCTGCCGACTACGCATGTGGTTCGGGGTTCAATCTCCGGCCGATGCACTCCTTTACCTAGCTAAGCCAGTAATAAGACTGGTGAATAGGGAAGGTTGTGCATGAGCCTAGCAACCCAATCCCGTAAAAATGGATACCAATGCTACTGAAACTGCAAGCCCCTAGTTTGGAGCCCTATGTTCCACTGGGAACGTAAAGGAATAAAAAAACAGATCACTTATCAATCATCGAATACTTGATCCGGAAACCAAAGAAAAGCCCAATCAGAATATTTATTTTCTGTCAACCTACCTGAATCGACTACCAATAATCAGAACAATCTGTTTTCTACTGTTCTAGGCAAATTTTTCATTTGGTTAGAAATATATTAGAAATATGATGTTCCATTATGGAGAAAATTTTATTTTGATAAAGTCTCACAGAGTGTTATACAGTAACAGTTACTGATGAGAACATTTCGATCACAATTTATAGATGCTTATAATCATATCATGTTACTCACACAACTTTCCAACTTCGTTGATGCTAGATGGTTGAAGGCAAACGTCAAGAAGACCTAACTTACCTAAGTTTCGTACTAGTTGGCACTCGCCAGTCAACATGGCATATCTACAAATCAAAGTATCCGATGTACTCTTATAGGAGGTCAGTCTCGAGCCCGAATAGCTCAGTGGTAACGTCTCTGACTGCAGTCACCATTGAGTGAGACAGGTTCGAAACTCAACATGGATACGAATTCCTTCAAAGTTGCAGATACGCCTTGCTGATGATTGCCAACTAGCACGAAACTTAGGCCAGTCACGGCTTCCTGCCGATTGCCTGCAGCCATCTAATACCAACAATTCAAAGTGCACCGTGATGAGAAGCCACCTAGCCTGTCGGTAGGCACATTTCAAACTTCACTGATAGAATTCAGTCTACACCAAACAAAGGACTGAACACATTATACTGGTTAAGTCAAAGTTTCCCACTTAGTCTATATAATTCCATTATTTCTCATCTCCTGATTCGATTGGTACTGATATTTTCCATATCTCTGGTTGTAGTGATGAGTCATTTCTATTGCAGATATTGGGTGTAGATTCGATGAACAAGGATTCATCAATCAACCTCTCTCGTTCTCCACCTTCTCATATTGCTTTTTAGAAATTTAACCCTCTCCCAACTTATTGTGTGGTTGTGTGTTGCATTGCATGCATTGCAGTCACTGAGGGTTTTTTCTAAATTACTTCGAGGGGTCAATGAATCTACACTTAGCTAAATTTTTATGTTCTGATAATCTGACTACCCACCTCCCATCTACTGGTTTGACCTATGTAGTTGACTAAACTCACTGTCATTACAAGGCATTTTATAAATTATATTATTTTGTCTAACTGGGTCAACTTACAGGGTTCTTTAACCTACACTACTTGTCCCTGAGTGAGTTTATAGGCTTAAATGCCATCACATTAATTCCTGCTTTATTAAGAATTTAACGATTAGTGAGAAGGTAAAGATCAAGGTAGAATAAGAGACTGGACAAATTATTTCTGTATACAGAAGTTCGGGCTTGTATTGACGAATTGCCAGCGCCTCCACCATACACAAAAGCCGAAACCTGACGCCCTTTGTTCCATTTAGCTTCACTTTGTAGATGATCTTGAAAGACGACTCCGGTGGAGCTACGTGGCCTGAGTTCACCAAATGCTCGAGAATTGAACTAGTAATTGTTTCGCATTGTCCTTTTGCTAACCATACCGGATAATGTTCAGAGATGCTTTTGGAAAGTGTGCGATTTGTGCGGCCAACTGTTTCCTCCTATTTTGGAACTCTTCATCTCTGCCAGGGATTGAACCAGGAATCTTCAGGTTTTGACGAGAGTAATCCAGTTGACCATTCAGGTGTTTGGGTCAAAATTCAGTGACCCATGAAATCTATCTTTGTTAACTCATGAAATCACATTACCCTCACGAATGCCTTCGAAGAGCATCAACTTCACATCTTGATATGGTTTTCAATGATCTATCTATCGTTATTATTACTGTACCCTCAGATTCCGAGTGGAATATACGGCCTTAAAAACACATCTCCACTTTGTTCTATTTCCTGCTCTCCTATTCAGCTGAGACTACGACCGCCCGTAGTCTCTCATTTCTCCTAACTCGCACGATCTCCTCCATGTCACCCTTGCACCGACGAATCAGTGCACACAGTGTCATTTGACGGTCTCCTCAGTGACGTGTGCTCAACCAATCTCTATTTTCTCCGGCATATTTCTTCAGCGACAGGTTCTTAGTTACTTTGTTTCCATAGTTTCATGTTAAATAATTCTTTCTGGTCATTTTATCTTCAATATGCAGCCAGAGAAGGTGGCAGCTGTTGGCAAAAGTCAGCGGTGGCCTGTTGGAAATGTTTTTCGTAACTCACTGGCTAAGTTTGTAACCTGTATAGACGGCCTGACTGACCTAACAAATCTCGTTCTTCATTCTTGAGTGAAGAAGATTTTCAAACTGTTTAGCAGAGTGACAAAGGTATACCTTGCCTTTCCGATTCTGCCTGATGTTGATATCTTTATCCGTTCCATCCACCTGTGGTTGAAAAGATGCTTCCTAGATGAGTGAAGGGAGTGATGAACTCCCGTTGATAGTGGTTGGTGGTGATTATTGTTGTTCTTGTTGTTGCCATTATAAGTTAGTTAGGCGCCTTTATCCCCTCCGTCTTTTATATATTCCCCCGAAGTCCTGTCTTCGTTGACTGCTTCTTCAGCCAGCGGGTTTGTTTTCGCCTGTAAGTCTTCAGGTATTTGTGACATGAGAAATAAATCACCCGTGAAATCCAAGTCTTCTAGAGTCTTCTTATTGAACCAAAAGTATTAATTTTATTGAATTTTAGATTTTCCCGTCGATTAATTGAACCGAAGTGCTTGGTCTCAGGTTGACATGTCGGCTTCTTATGTAGATGCTTTGATGATGTCTGGGCATTTAATTAGTATTTAATTGGTGGATGGTGACTAGCAGTGGAATCCAGGACAGGTACATCCAGTAGTTGAAGAGTCCCAAGTGGGACGAAATGCGCGTTGTCCTGGATTCCACTGCTAGTCACCATCCACCAATTAAATACAAAAGTATTACTGTCTTCTCAAACATCTTACTAGCTCGCTAGTTTTCCAGCTGATCCCAATCCCAGGGGAAAAATGGGAGGGCAAGGTGTGGGGCCAGCAACCCTACCTCCGAAAACCAGTCAAACTGCTACAAAAACTTCAACGCACAAGAAAATATCTATATTTTTTAAAGTGATCTCTCTAAATGATGCTTTTTTTCTAATGACAAAGTCTGTCCAATAATAACAGCTAAGTTTTTCATCATCTTGAAGTGATTGCATAACTAGTCATTCATTGATATACGTTTTCTCCTTTCTTACTCAAAAAACAAAACAAAAACAAACAGGATCACAATCTGTTATGTCAAGTCCAAAAAATCGTGGAAATTGGGTAGCCACCAGTACACTGCATAAATTCGATCAAAATTCCACACTAAGTGGGACAACTAAAGCTGATCATGAAGCAATTCATCAAAGATTTTATATAGATCCATCAAGTCCAATGATTATGCCCCGGAATAAACTAATCAATCGTACTCAATCATGGGGTGGAGGATTACGCTATGAGCATACTAATGTAGAAGACATTTGTTGTGATGATGATGATGAAGATGATGATGATGACGAAGAACATCATCGTCGACGTCTTCACTCACCCCGACAGTCAATTCTACACATTTTATCTGATTCACATTCGACTGGGCGACAATATTTGCATAGAATGATGAAACCTACACTGCCTTCTTCTATACCAAAGTGTTATTTATACTCTGTGAATAATAGTCATGACCAATTGAATCGGATAAAAAGATCAGCTACCTATGTGAGTATGCCTGATGTGAATGGACATCGACATTTGTCAAGACATAAACACAAAGATTATCATCATTGGATTACTACACATACTACTACTAATAATAATAATAACAATGATGCAAAGAGTAATCTCATCCATACAACTACAACTATAACTTCTGGGACTACTGACAGCCTGTCACCTAGTAATCCTGGAATAACAATTGGATTTATAGGTATTGCTGCACAGCCTACACCATTACGTGGTAGAGATTTTAAACCACCACAAGCAAAACGTCCACGTATCATTAATGCGTCAATTCCTTCAGTATCACAGACTAGGCCTATTTCACCTTCATCTTGTTCAACAATCACCGGCACAACTACTGATCGTAGTGATGATAATGATGGTACCAACAGTATGAACAGTAGTGGTGAAGGTCATTCACAAATATTTTTAAATCCTGCCTATCGTCATCACCATCTACATCAACCACATCCTCAACATCATCATTTGATGCTTTATCGATCCAATAATAATAGTGATAATGATAATAATAATAATAATAGTAATAATAATGACAGCGGCGAGAAACCGGCCAACAAACGAATGATTACTTCAGTTCAGCATTCTAATAATTTAATCCCAACTGCTGACGACCTGCATACGGCTTGTCATAAGGGAATTGGTAGTGATAATAATAGCACTAATAATAATAATAATAATGAACATGAAGAGAGCAGTAAAGAACATTCATATGTTGACTATGAAAGACGAGGTGCAGGAGGAGAAGAAGGGGAAGAGGACAACGGCGAGGACGACATGGAGGAGGCTGAAGAGGAGGAAACTCTTTCACAAACAAATTCGAATGATGAAAATTCCGACTTCATTCAACCAGAAGATGATGATACAGATGTAGATGATTCAGAGAAATTTTCACCAGAAAGTAAGTTGAATGCTATTCCTTTCTGAAACATTTGCTGTTTTTTGTATAATTAAACATATACTACTGATTTAAAAATGAGTAGTAAGTGTAGGTTTGCAGCGATTTCATGGAAAATTCCCATTGTAACATTTTTTTTTCCTTCACGTTCCTAGTGGAACATAGGGCTTCAAGCTAGTGGCTTGAAGTTTCTGTAACAGTGTTTAATTTTTACAGGATGGGGTTGCTAACCTCATGCCCAACCTTTCCTCTTTACCAGCATTATTTCTGGCTCAACGAGGTAAAGGAGTGCGTCGGCCGGGGATCGAACCCCGGACCATGTGCATGGTCGGCGAGGGTCCTAACCACTATACCACCGACGCAAATTGTAATGTATAGAAAATCAAAATAAGCGCTTCAGCGCAGAGACTCTTTTGAACGAATTTATTATATATATATATATGGTTTTTAAGAAGTTATATCCGGTGAGGGAATTTAATCATAGGTGTGAATGGACAAAATAATGATAGTAGTATGAAATGCAATTAAAATATTTGTGATTATAATCATATTTAAATGTCAAGTAGCAAAACACTTAATGTCATATATAGAATAGAACATTCCCTGATACATCCTTGAGGTTAGCCTTCACCAGTCGACCATTACTGTTCAAAAACCTGAAAGACGAGATCCCACTTTTGACTAACTCTATAAGCGTTTATCAATCCACCTGATCGTGTGCAGCTAGGTGTATAGGTAGTTCGACTCGAGTTTTGTCCAAGTGGGTGTGAGAACACTATCCTGCGTGGTTACGAAGAGGTGGAAGTGGAGCAATAAGAAGCGCGATCATTGAACATCTGGTCGATAATGGTCACACTATCTCTATAGCCTCCGCCTTTAAAGTCATCTACAAGGCAAAAAGTAATTTACTCAGATCACTGCGTACCTGACTCATCTGCGTTGCTGAAGCCTTCTTTGGCTATCAAAACAGAGAAGCCAGATCTATGTCTATTCAATTTGTATTCTCTTCCCTTCTTTAAATCTTCCTATATATAATACTAGAACAAGACATATAAGCGAACAATATTGCTGTTTTCAATTAGATCTTCTTCAGGCTTTACTCTAATTTACATAGATTTATATATAAAAGTCTAACCAATGACGGTGATTTTGGGAATCAAATAATAATAATAATATAATGTGGTGAATGTTTTGAACGAAATTAATAACGATGATTATAATGATAACAAAATATTGATAATAAGGTTTATGCAGGTGATAAGAATAACAAACATAGTATATGCATATAAGTGTATAAATAAATTAGGTCAAATCTTAAAAGGTGAAGTGGAACGATAATCAGAGTTTAAATAAAAATTATTAAAGTAAGAAGGAGATGGAAAATAAGAAAGGGTGGGAGGGTTTTGAATAGAATTCACCTAGGCAACCAAGGGAGAGACAAAGGTAGAACAAACTTCTTTTGTTGTATGCAAAGACTAGGATTGTTCTCTCGAATTAATTCCCATAGCTTCGGCTAGGTGTAAAAGACTGGTTCTGATATCGTTCGAAAGACTCAATGGAATACGATAGATAACTTTGAAAGCTTCTCAAATAAACCATCCAGTTAGCTCAGAGAACACAACTACATCGAAATATACATAGTATTCTGTTGGTAATGCAGTATATAACCTTGGGAGAAGTATTCTGTCTCTAGCATTAAATAGAATGTTCACATGGATATATTGCATTCTGTTGCTAATGCCGAATTGAACTGTGGGAATATGTGGAAATAATATTCCGTTGGCGCACATTGTCTGTATGACACCACCACACTATTATTATTTCATCTTTTTTTTCTTCTCTGTTTCTCATGTATTCTCACTTTTTTAGACTCTCCAGTAAATTCAACATCTCTATCAGAAACAGAAACATCATCCCCATCACCATCCCCATCCCCAACATCATCAACATCACAAAGACATTTCGCCACACCATCCACTTCGTTACTTCACGATGAAACAATTAAAGTCACTGTATATCCATATGAACCGCATGGAATACGTTCGGCAACTAGTCGTCAAACATCTTACAGACCACAATCATCACAAAAACCTTCACCACCACTGTCATCTTCCTCTCCACGACATCATTTACATCAGCATCAACATCATCATCATCATAAACAATTTGTCAATTCCTCGAGAAGTAGTCAGTCACAAATACGTTCATCAGATGAACAAACTATGCCTAAAGTGTCGACTACAGATGTTATTTATGAATATGAAGCCTAAATATTAGAATACAAGTGCCTGGCATATATATATATATTTATATTTATATAGACCTATATTCGTTTATATGTATATATATATATATGCACAAAAGAAATTTTGCTTTTCAATGTTCGATGTATCTACCATCACCATGCATACCTATTGAAACATTCAACTAAACATTCTGTATATGGCGGGCTCATTTTTCTCTGCCTTAGTTTGCCTTAGTTATAGGAGAATAACATTACTTTTATTAATAATAATAATAATGATAGTAATTATAATCATAGCGACAAATGGTGATCTCTAAAATTGCCCTCACTCCAAAGACCTTCAAAAACAGTATGCATTATTGACAAGATGTATACGCAATCATTTCGGATAAGTAGCTTCCCTCTTTCTTCTTTTTCTTCTTCTAAAAGCAATCGCTTTTATTTTTGTTTGTTTAATTAGGCATTTTTCTTATTGTTGTTGTTGTTGTTCGAATCCCGTAGGCTAGAAGTAGAGGTGCAATTGCGCTTTTTATTAAAGAAAAACACAACCGAAATACCATTGAACTAGATCTATTTGTCATTCACAGTAATTCTCTCCTCTCCACCAACATACACACCCACACACACACACACTAACGCACTCATGCTTCCTGACCTTGTTTTATTTCTATCCTCCTCCAGTTTCCTTTTATATACCCTTCTCTTTGTACACTGAATGAAACAAATCGATATAAAAGAAGTCAATATTCCATATTGACCTTGACGCAGACAATATATATATATATATATTTAAACAAATTATATACTCAGCAATTTTAAACACAAATCATTTTTCAAACTAAGATAAAATATTCAAAAATCCTGGTGATAACATTTTGCCCCTTCTTCTTTTTTCTTAAATATAGTTGCTAGTATTTTTAAGAATAAGATGAACAGGCTAGGAGATATTCAGAACAACATGTTTGTTTAAATGCATTAAATAGAAGCCGTTGTGACCTTGAAATCAGCTAGTCGCGCGTTAATTAAACAATCGATTGATTAATTAATTAATCATTGTTCTAGGTTATATGTATATTCAAGAAGACGTGTATAAAAAGCATGAATGTAGACAAATTAAAGTTACATAGCTTAGAATTAATTGTACAATATCCTTGACAAGTTTTGCATCACTTTTATTGTTGTTATTGGCAACGGTGTTGGGAATGTTTGGTTTTTTTTCTGCAGATTTTGTTTTTCTCTCTTCTTTCTCTACTTTTTTTCTCTCGCCATGTGTGTGCGTGTAGATTTTTCAAATTCACCGCTTTATTTCTTTTCCCAGTTTTTGTTTTTAAATCTGGCTTAAATGATTTTACCCACATTTAACATTTTATTTCCCTGCTGTATACACACATAGAATCCTACCAAATTTTACATTTTCCCATATATATATATATATATATATATATATATATATATATATTAAAAAGAACCTTAGATGTAATTACAACAAAAATAAAGAATTGGAAGCATCAATAGATGGTGATAAAGTCGAAGAACATGAAGAGATCATGAATTTCAGGAACTTTCATCTTCCTACTAAGTGAAAGGAAGATTATATATATACAAATACAAACATATATATATATATTTGATTTGAGATAGTAACGAATTGTATTCTGCTTCTATTTTGTTCTAATGTATCACCGATGTTGTTATCAAAGTAACTGACCGACTCACTGACCAACTGGTTTCAACGTATAAATTTGCACAGATGTGCAGCAGTTTGAATTGTCACACTCCCACCTTGTAGGACACAAAGCAAGAGAAAAGAGTAAAGAGAGATTTGGAAGACTAACTATAAAGAAAAGTGTGAGGGAAAAAGAATAGTAGTAATATGGAAGATCAATAGAGATCTTTTGGATATGACAGATCACAGAGATGGAATGCACCAGTGCCAGGCATTGACAAGGATGACTTTGAGCCATATCACCAATTGTCTCCAGCCGTCATTGGTTCTAACCATACCGACGACCCTAACCAGTCAGGAAGTCTACACCTCCCTACGTGACTGCCTGGCTGGCTTAAAATAACTGTTGTGGATTTCATTGACTGATGAAGCCATATTTTCGTTTGACCACCACTAGCTAACTAACTCTTTTCCAACCTGATGCATCCAGTGTCATTTAGCTAAAATTGCCCGTTGTCGAGGAAGGCGATGGCTAGGCGTTCCACATCTTCTAAACATCTCAATCGATGCAGCTGCTTCACACAATCTCGTCGATTGATTTTCCCTCCTGCTTACCTAGCACTCGAACTACACCTCACTTCAGTATTACTCACCCTATTATACCACCTGACATAGATAGAACACAGACACCTGTGATCAAAGACAGCTAGTCAGCTAGCGAGCTGACCTTTTCATGCCTTCCACTTTCAATCAATGGTCATGTCTCACTCACAGCCAGCCATAAAGGAGGACAGAGCGGACTACTGAGCAGTACACACGCCCTTTGGTAGACAGCCAGCTGGATATCACGTCTATGCCAGAGATGGCGTAAGTTGACATATGAGAAACTAGTCTTCCGTATCCATGCTGAGATTTCGTCAGCGATCAACCCGCTAAGGCTGGGTGGTGCAACTCCCCTTCAAATGAGTGAATTGGTCAACAGGCTCAGCCAACGCTTCACTCCTGCCTACCTTTAAGCTAAGAGTCAATGTAGTCCAGTAGAGTCCAGTCTTGTAGCTTCATCTTACATTTGACGGCAGTAAATTGCATGCCAAATATTCGAAGATCACACTGCTTAAGGTGTTCAGAAGACTCCGCATTCTGTCAGAGTCTTCACGTAGAAGGACTATATCATCTGCATCTGCTAAATCAATGAAATTATACCCTGGTAACAAATCACTCCCTCAGTTGCTGAAGTCAATCAGGGTTAAGTCCATTAGTATATCTACGATGATGCTATCAAAGTAATATAAAACAGAAGGGAAGTGAAGGTTGTAAGTTAAATATGAGCCAAATGTTGAGTGCCTGACTAAACCTTTGCTACCTTCACCCCAGCCCACCTCATAAACTGGTGCACATCAAAATCATATCAAACACTCAGGAGAGATTGAATTATCACAGACACAGTCAAGATACTTTTTTAAGGTTGACCTTGAAGAAACAAACACATCAACTGAACGCTTTGGTTGGTCATTCCAAATAGAAATCACATCCACCTTAGTAGAGATTTGGTTAGTGAGTTCTGCGAAGATATCAAGCATTTAACTACTATTTTAACTGAATTTTAGATTTTCCCGTCGATTGATTGGACCGAAGTGCTCGGTCTCAGGTTGACATGTCGGCTTCTTGAGCAGATGCTTCGACGATGTCTGGGCATTTAATTAGTATTTAATTGGTCTAGTGGATAACGCTTTGGCGTTTGAAACTATGGGCACTGGCTTCGAGCCTCGGTGGGAACATCATCACTCACTGGGAAATGCAGGTACATCCAGTAGTTGAAGAGTCCCAAGTGGGACGAAATGCGCGTTGTCCTGGATTCCACTGCTAGTCACCATCCACCAATTAAATTTAACTACTATGTTAATAATAATGGATTAATTAGTGTGACTAAGATACTATGACACTAAATCAATACAACCAGCATTTTGGAGATAAATACTGCTGCTATAACTTCAGTTTACTAAAATAACTCCGTCGCCAATTTCTTATAACTGATACTGAAGTGAATGAGAACCGTAGTCACCTCTGTTGTGAATGCGCCTGGCTGAAATAAGTATTTGCCTGTGGTACCTTCCAATTCACTGAGCCACGTAAGTATCAAAAGACAAAGACTGGTATAAGAATAAAACTTGTGCACTGTGATAGAGTGTAATTCCATTATGGGTAAATTTTGTTTTGATAAAGTCTCACAGAGTTATACAGTAATGTTTACTGATGACCACATTCGAGCACAATTTATTGCTACTCATAATCATATCAAGGTAATCACACGACTTCCTAAATTCATTTATATAGTTCCATTGTTTTTCATCACTTGATTTGATTGGTAGTAATATTTTCCATATTTCGGGTATGAGTGATGAATCATTCCTGTTGCATGTGTTGGGTGTAGATTCGATGAACAAGGATTAAGTGACATTTAAACCTACAAACTCACTCAGGGACAAACTCTGTAGGTTAAAGGACCCAGCTGACCCAATTAGATAAAATAATATAATTTACAAAATACCTTGCAGTGACCGTGATTCAAGTCAACTACATAGGTCAAACTAGTAGGTCAGGGGTAGTCAGATTGTCAGAACATAAGAATTTAGCTAAGGTAAGAATGATTAATCCCACAAAGATAATTAATTTAGAAAAAAACTCAGCACCTCATTGCACTGTATGCATTAACACACAACCACACAATAGGGTGGGAGAGGGTTAAAATTCTAAAAAGTAGTAATCTAGGTAGGTGGAGAGAGAGGTTGATTACTGAATCCTTGTTCATCGACGGAATCTACACCCAACACATGCAACAGGAATGATTCATCACTCATACCCGAAATATGGAAAATATTACTACCAATCAAATCAAGTGATGAAAAACAATGGAACTATATAAATGAATTTAGGAAGTCGTGTGATGATTACCTTGATATGATTATGAGTAGCAATAAATTGTGCTCGAAACGTGGTCATCAGTAAACATTACTGTATAACTCTGTGAGACTTTATCAAAACAAAATTTACCCATAATGGAATTACAAAGACTGGTCTTTGGACGTTAGGATACGATATTTATCAAGAAAAACACGTCATATATATATATATTTTTCTTACCACGTTAAAATCGGCCCAGGGCAATAAAAATAGTTTTTTTTTGATTGGTAGGCGATTCGACTAAGTTAGGAGAAAATAAATATTCTGATTGATTGACATTCTGACCGAGAGCAAGGTGAGAAAAAGGTGATCATATTTTACAGTCCTCCGACGACAAGATGAATCACATGATAAATCGTAAGATGATCATGATTTTCCGGTGATTCCTACTATATACATACTGACCAATGTGGAGGGGATTCAACCAGTTGTCATCTCTGGGTTGTATTCAGCATCGTGTCAACCATTCCACTGATCCTGTGGATGCAACTATGGAGACGGACACTAATTCTATCGGAAGATTTTCGGAGAGTTTCAAGTGGAATAACCGCATTTACTGTTAACACTTTGAAAAAATTTGGGCATTGGGTGTATGATATTCATTATAATAAATGTGTTTTGTATTTCCCAATGAATGAATGAAAAACAAAACGATATTGTCGTTGTTTTTACTGACGTTTCGCTATTTAATGCTGCTGCTAATAGCTTTATCAAAGTAGCCATATTAAACCGGAATTTACAAAATCTCAGCATATATATAAGAAAGAGTTAAGAGGTAAGAAAATAGACTTAGGTCAATTTGAAGGGACATATTGAAAGTGAAAATAACAATGAAGATCACTAAACCAAATAACAAAAGTAATAGTACATCTGTTATGATATCAAAACAAAGTTTACTAACTTGATCATCGTTCGTCAGTATGGGGTCATTAGAGTTTTCTTCCAAACATCAGGGACACTGCGAAACAAACTTGTCCATATAAAAGACCAAATCCCTAAAGATTCTCTTTCTAATTGTGTCTATAAAATGAAATGCTTGGAATGTGATGCGACATACATCGGACAAACATCGCTAGAGAGTAATCAAAATGAGAATAAATGAACACCTAGAGCATCTGTTCGACCAACGAGAAATCCAGTTCGTGAACTAGAAAAGTTTGAAAAATCATCAGCCATAGTCCGTCTACAAGCTTTAGAATCAGGCCACAAAATTGATTTTGACAATATTGAAATAATCCAGAAAAACTTCAGAAATCCCAAACAACGTCTAATATCAGAGGCACTTAATATCAAGTGGAATCCAAATTGTCTGAATAGGAATGATGGACTAAAACAGAATCTGACCTGGTTACAACACCTCACTCCCCTCCCCCATGAAGCGACAAAATCAACACGAATGTGATAAGCAAGTTCACTATGTTAACACACACAGGTTTTATAATTTTACACACTGATCAAATCCAACAATCTACACCTGGTTTTGTTATCTTTACCAATTGACCAACATAACAACGAAAAATGACCCCATACTGACGAACGATGATCAAGTTAGTAAACTTTGTTTTGATATCATAACAGATGTACTATTACCTTTGTTATTTGGTTTAGTGATCTTCATTGATATTTTCACTTTCAATATGTTCTTTTAACTTGACCTAAGTCTATTTTCTCACCCCTTAACTCTTTCTTATATATATGCTGAGATTTTGTAAATTCCGGTTTAATATGGCTACTTTGATAAAGCTATTAGCAGCAGCATTAAATAGCGAAACGTCAGTAAAAACAACGACAATATCGTTTTGTTTTTCATTCATTCATTGGGAAATACAAAACACATTTATTATAATGAAATTACCACACTTGAAGAAAAATGCAACAGTTACGATAACTATAACAATGGAATAGTAAGTAGAATATCAAATGAAATTAAGGAAATGTCTACAGCAAATTAAGCATTGGTGAAATCATGATTAACGGCTAAGGTAAGAAAAGTGTCTGAACTAAC